CCTCCATACACACTATCTCTCCCTCTAAACACACGGGCACCACACTCCGCACTCTGGCACCCTCCTGCTCTTTTTACAATCACCCTGCCACAGTTACTCCTTTACTCACCCTGTCACCCCCTGAAGGCAATCATTCTACACACTGTCATAAAACATAGCTTTGCCATGAACTTAATGCCAAAGGCCACAGGCAGTACACAAACATACACATGCTCAGAGAAACATGCATACATATACAAAGATACTCACTGCCAGACACACACTCTCAGGCACACACAGGTAGACAATGCAACGACGTATACAAAGACTAGTTCTCTATATCCAGTACTGCAAGCCCGCCCTTCAATATATCTACAGCTTCTTATACACACACAAGTCAACTGCTGTTTTTTTCCAATAATGGTGTTAGTGGGGGCCTCATGTATGAGTTTCGCCTAAGGCCTCGCCAAGTCTAGAGCCGCCACTGCCCCCAAGTGTCCCATTACCCCCTCACCAGCCCCTCCACATGTCTCATTCTCCCCCCAGTCCCTCCACATGTCTCATTCTCTACCCAGCCCCTCCACATGTCTCATTCTCCCCTGTCCCTCCAAATGTCTCATTCTCCCCAAGCCCCTCCAAGCGTCTTATTCTCCCCCCAGTACCTCCACGTGTCTCAATCTTTCCCCTAGCCCCTTTATGTGTCTCATACTCGCCCTCAGCCCCTTCTCGTGTCTCAATGTCCCCCCAACCCCTCCACATGTCTCATTCTCCCCCCAGCCCCTCCATGTGTTTTATTCTCCCCTCAGTCCCTCCACGTGTCTCATTCCACCCCAGACCACCACATGTCTTTCCCACACAGCTCTACCATGTGTCTCTCCCACCTGCCCAGCCCCTCCATGTGTCTCTTCCACCTCCCCCAGCCTCTCCACCTCTTCATGTGTCTCTCCAGAGGCATTCAAACTCCGTGAGGACGTCCAGCATCATCTCAGTGTGATTTTCTTACTGAAAATCGTTGATGCAGCCACTAGAGGCTGGATTAACCCTGCAATGTAAACATAGAAGTTTCACTAAAACTGCTATATTTTCAGTTGCAGGGTTAAAACTAAGGGGACCTGGCACCCAGACCACCTTATTGAGCTGAAGTGGTCTGGGTGCCTTTAGTGGCCCTTTAATTCAATAATTAAGGGGTGTCCCAATACTTTTGTCCATATAGTGTGTTTATTTATTTATTTGCAAAACCTATAAAGATTTGAGTATGCAAAACATACAGCATACTAATGAGGACAAATCTATCAAATGCATTAAGATGTATTGGTGTCCAGGAACACGTTAGGAAGGGGAGTGTTAAAGATAGTAGCTAAGTGAAAGGATGAAAAATTAAAAGATTTGGAAGGTGATAAAAATATGCATAAAAACATGTGTGCTTTATTCCAGTAAAAGTTGTATTATGCATTCACAGTTCAAATGTCATGCAGAACTTGGAAATTATCAAAATTTCTCACACTTTTTTTTTTTCATTTTATTCATATTAAATTGTGTTACATTAATGTAGAATGTAAGCCCTATTTTTCCTGAGTAAAATGATATATAATAAGTGGAAGGTAAATTATGGTTGAACAGACATATAGCGCAAATTCAAGGTTTTGTTTTGGTCAGCACTTGTGCAATTGCCTCCGTCCTTAAGGGGTTAAATTACAATTACGTTGGAACAAATGAAATTATATGTTTTGTTTTGGTTCAGAAGTTGGGCAATTGATTCCACAGTTAAGGGGTTAAGGTCTCATACATAATCATTTAGTGGTTTGTTGACATAACACAACATGAATGGTGACATATGATCTGACATATGCACAGTACATGACTGATCTCTAAAAGCAAACAAAGGACACTAAGGACACGACACTCCCTTTCGCGCACTTGTATGAGTGCATGTGCTCTTAGACATTCCTTCAGCAGTGCCACGCATGCACATGTAGGTTTTGATTTCACTTGTATACCTTTCTCAGTGTGGCCAGCAAGAAGTGTAACTTGAAAAATAAATGCTGGTTAGATTTTCAGGAAGCAACACAAATAGATTTATTAGTTGTTCCAAAGTGTCAGAGTTCATCTTTAAAGTTACACTGTCAATTGTGAGCACTGCATGAAGAAATAGGGGGAGATTTATCAAGGTAAAACAAGTGATATGCTCGGGTTAAGTGCTGAATTGGGTGCAATCAACATGGAAACCAGATTCTGCTCTCTTATTAGGTGACTTAGGCGGACACATAAGGCCTCCCGGTCACTGGGGACTCGCAGCTGCCTAACTCACCCAGTGTGAGATGATGTGTTCCCTTATTCAAATGCTGGTGGGGGGCTTCAGGTTACCACGTAGCACTCTGACTCATTACCAAGCGCCTGGCAGAGTTGACATGGACATGGAGTGAAAATGAGAAAAAGTTCAGACACAAAAAACGCCCAGCACAAAATCACAAAATTCATTAAGATCATCACAGCAGTATCTCTGCCTTTGGATCCCAAAACCCTTATTTTTGGGCTAATTAAGGGACTGACGCACAAACCCACCAACATACTGGTACTCCACCTACTAACGGCAGCAAATCTACTGATACCCCTATTCTAGAAAAGGCAAGCAGCTCCTTCTATCAGATTGGTTAATGTTTCCGCTGATGTATACACCACTAGACAAACTGTGTTTTATATTACGATGTATTACGCATTAAACCTTTGAATGCTTATTGATAATCCATCTGAGTGGTGTGACTTCATTGAGTATTCCCAGCAGCAGCTTACAGACATACAGGAAAGCAGAAACGTCTTTGTTAGTTCATAAGACCATGGCAGCATAAGTGTTTCCAGACCCTGTGGTGATTTCCAACCTAACACTCAGTAACATGCCAGTACATTGGCTGGTGATGTGACATTATAAAGAATGACATACAATTGTCAAATTATAACATACTAGATCCTTGTCAAAATTGATATATCATCACATATCTGTGGCAACACCCTTCCTTGTTCTTACAGTTCCTATTCCCTTAAATGGCTGAGGGTATTAGTTATAGTGCAGAAAGAAATAGATGATAGCCCATGGCTATCACTGAGCTCACATCTCCCCAGTCCATCTCTCTCACTGAGCTCACATCTCCCCAGCCCATCTCTCTCACTGAGCTCACATCTCCCCAGCCCATCTCTCTCACTGAGCTCACATTCCCCAGCCCATCTCTCACTGAGCTCACATTCCCCAGCCCATCTCTCTCACTGAGCTCACATCTCCCCAGGCCATCTCTCTCACTGAGCTCACATCTCTCCAGCCCATCTCTCTCACTGAGCTCACATTCCCCAGCCCATCTCTCTCACTGAGCTCACATCTCCCCAGCCCATCTCTCTCACTGAGCTCACATCTCCCCAGCCCATCTCTCACTGAGCTCACATTCCCCAGCCCATCTCTCTCACTGAGCTCACACTTGTCTCTCCCTTCCTGCCCAGCCATTCCCTCCGGGCGGCATCCTCTGCCCTTGACGTCACTCCCCGGCCAGCTCCTGCGCACTGCAGGCCCCTCCCCTCCCCGGGCGCAGGCTGCCCTGGATACCCGGCGTCATGTGTGTTGGCTGAGGCTGTGTCGGGGATGGAGAGCGCCTTGCTGTGTGATGATGAGATCTGTAAGTAGCCGGGGGTACACGGGGGTCAGGGCTGATCCTGCGCATGTCCAGGAGGGCTCTGCCAGGGATAAAGTGCGAGTCCCTTCCAGCTGTCACTGGCCGCCTGGGGGCAGAGGGCATCGGGCTGAGCCAGGGGGTGAGATAGGGACAGGGTCAGCAAATCACCAATATCACCCCCCACCTCACCCTGCTGGGCTGGCACAGGGACTCACAGCCTGTAACCATGATAACAATAGCAATAAAACCTGGGTGATATATTCCTTATATTATACATGGAGAGCAGTGTGTGTGCATATTATATTATACATGGAGAGCAGTGTGTGTATATATTATATTATACATGGAGAGCAGTGTGTATATATTATATTATACATGGAGAGCAGTGTGTGTATATATTATTATACATGGAGAGCAGTGTGTGTATATATTATATTATACATGGAGAGCAGTGTGTGTACATATATTATACATGGAGAGCAGTGTGTCTGTATATATTATTATACATGGAGAGCAGTGTGTGTATATATTATATTATACATGGAGAGCAGTGTGTGTATATATTATATTATACATGGAGAGCAGTGTGTGTACATATATTATACATGGAGAGCAGTGTGTCTGTATATATTATTATACATGGAGAGCAGTGTGTGTGCATATTATATTATACATGGAGAGCAGTGTGTGTACATATTATATTATACATGGAGAGCAGTGTGTGTGTATATATTATTATACATGGAGAGCAGTGTGTGTGTATATATTATTATACATGGAGAGCAGTGTGTACATATTATATTATACATGGAGAGCAGTGTGTACATATTATATTATACATGGAGAGCAGCGTTTGTACATATTATATTATACATGGAGAGCAGTGTGTGTATATTATATTATACATGGAGAGCAGCGTGTGTACATATTATATTATACATGGAGAGCAGTGTGTATATATTATATTATACATGGAGAGCAGTGTGTGTACATATTATATTATACATGGAGAGCAGTGTGTGTATATTATATTATACATGGAGAGCAGTGTGTATATATTATACATGGAGAGCAGTGTGTATATATTATATTATACATGGAGAGCAGTGTGTACATATTATATTATACATGGAGAGCAGTGTGTGTATATATTATATTATACATGGAGAGCAGTGTGTGTACATATTATATTATACATGGAGAGCAGTGTGTGTATATATTATATTATACATGGAGAGCAGTGTGTATATATTATATTATACATGGAGAGCAGTGTGTGTATATATTATTATACATGGAGAGCAGTGTGTGTATATATTATATTATACATGGAGAGCAGTGTGTGTACATATATTATACATGGAGAGCAGTGTGTCTGTATATATTATTATACATGGAGAGCAGTGTGTGTATATATTATATTATACATGGAGAGCAGTGTGTGTATATATTATATTATACATGGAGAGCAGTGTGTGTACATATATTATACATGGAGAGCAGTGTGTCTGTATATATTATTATACATGGAGAGCAGTGTGTGTGCATATTATATTATACATGGAGAGCAGTGTGTGTACATATTATATTATACATGGAGAGCAGTGTGTGTGTATATATTATTATACATGGAGAGCAGTGTGTGTGTATATATTATTATACATGGAGAGCAGTGTGTACATATTATATTATACATGGAGAGCAGTGTGTACATATTATATTATACATGGAGAGCAGCGTTTGTACATATTATATTATACATGGAGAGCAGTGTGTGTATATTATATTATACATGGAGAGCAGCGTGTGTACATATTATATTATACATGGAGAGCAGTGTGTATATATTATATTATACATGGAGAGCAGTGTGTGTACATATTATATTATACATGGAGAGCAGTGTGTGTATATTATATTATACATGGAGAGCAGTGTGTATATATTATACATGGAGAGCAGTGTGTATATATTATATTATACATGGAGAGCAGCGTGTGTACATATTATATTATACATGGAGAGCAGTGTGTGTATATTATATTATACATGGAGAGCAGTGTGTACATATTATATTATACATGGAGAGCAGTGTGTGTATATATTATATTATACATGGAGAGCAGTGTGTGTACATATTATATTATACATGGAGAGCAGTGTGTGTACATATTATATTATACATGGAGAGCAGTGTGTGTATATATTATATTATACATGGAGAGCAGTGTGTGTACATATTATATTATACATGGAGAGCAGTGTGTATATATTATATTATACATGGAGAGCAGTGTGTGTATATATTATATTATACATGGAGAGCAGTGTGTGTACATATTATATTATACATGGAGAGCAGTGTGTGTATATATTATGTTTAATTAAAAAAAAGAAAAAATTACATCTGCAAATAAATCGACGTTTCGACCCTAACTGGGTCTTTCTCAAATAGAAACGTTGATTTATTTGCAGATGTAATTTTTTCATTTTTTTCATTAAACCACAAGTGTGCTTACTTAAGTCCTGTGTGTGCACCCTTTATCTTCAGAATATATATTTCAACGCGGGTAGCATCCATTACTTATATTATACATGGTGAGTAGTGTATGTATACATATTGTGTGCACGCGCGAACGCTGTGTGTGATATGTGTGAATAAATTAGTCTTTTTCTCGTGTGTGTATCAATATTTATGTACATATGTTTATCTTTTTCCTCTGTGTATGTAGGAAGCAATATCTATAATGAGAAGCATAACATTTATTTATTTTTTTAAGTGGAATTCCTCTTGTATAGATTCCTCAAGTTGGAAACAATGAGAGGAAGTAAAAGCTAGGACAAGTCACTGTAGCAATAAGTTTCACTATCAGGACAATGACACTGGGTCATGTCTGTAGCACAGGACACCACATTCAGTGCCCCAGCTCCTTGCTGTATCCTGTTCTTATAATAATCTTTCATTTTACTAAGTAACCCTTTTAGAAGCTCCATTAACTGTGCACTTTCAAATTACATATTTTGCATTCATCTCTCTCTTTCAGGTAACAAATAAGGCTTTGCAAGAATTAATTTATCTGTTAGATTTATAAAATAATTTTTAGAAGTATATTTTATCTGTCTACATGTCTATCTTTGGCATATAAGAAACTATTCTATTTCTATCCCCTTGTATAAGACCATGGATTATTTATTATATATTTTATTTATAAATAATAATTAAGCAAATAATCAATGTAATCATTTATCATGTTTCCGACATTTCACCTCCACAAATACACCCTTGTACTTTAACACATATCATGGACTACAGATCTTTAAAGCCGCACCGTCATGGCCGCATCCATTTTTTTTTTAAACCCCCCTCCAGACTCTAATACATCTAATAGCCCCCCTGGTCGCCCCCAAATGCCCCTAAGCCCCCCATATTACCTATATTTAATTTTTATTTTCTGCCTAGACCTAGGTCCTGGGCGCCGCCATCTTTGTGTGGGTAGATGAAGTCCCTGTGGGACTTCAAAATGGTGAACCCTCCCATCTATTACAAAAGACCCCCATATCTATTAATTAGCGGAGGGGACACAGTGTCCCCTCCCCCCTCCCCCCCAGCCTACACCCGTGCCCCGAGAGTGCGGGATATGCCCTGTGGGTGGGGACCCTAAATGACAATGATGGGGGACCTATTGTCCTCCGCCCCAGGCACCCACCGATGGGCCACGGGTGGGGGCCCTACATAAAAATAGGGGGAGGACAAACCTATTGTCGGCCCCCACCCATGAGCGGCGGGTGGGGGCTCTAAATGGCAAGGGGGGCCTATTGCCCATGGGTGGGTGCCCTACATAAAAATAGGGGTGGACCTATTGTTTTTTTTTTTTTACATTTAGACGCCCCAACCACGACTCACCTCGCAGCATAGCGAGTAGGGGCAGATTAATTACTAATACTAAGTAATTTTTACTTAGTATTAGTAAATTTGGCTGAAAGACCAGTTTTGGTCTTTCAGCCTTTTGGTACAAAGCTCCCTAATACCGTGGCACGAATAGGATCGGAGTTTCATTCATTTTAACGAAATTCCGATACGAACAGAAACTACCGAATGCCATTCTAACACGAATGAACAAACTGTTCATTCTGTTAGGACGGAATTCGATAGTTTCGCCGGTGTCCTATCTATATGACAGGACGCTGGGGAATAGTGAAAGGAAGCATCGTGAGATCAGGTGAGAAATGTGGGGAAATTCCTTTGACCGTGAGAAGTGGGTCAAAGCTGGTCAAGCGTAGGAAACCTCCATAAGACAAAGTAGTCCCTACTTTTTCTTATGTTTTAAAGAAAACTAGAGCAGACATGAAGAAATGAACAGATCCTGACAGAGGGAGAGAAGAGGAATCGATGAAAGAAAGGAATGGTCAGCACGACCGTGCCGCCTTAACTTCTGTTATTATGTCAGAGCATTATGGGATTTGCAGTCCATCATCACAAGATCCTTGCTTACACCATAATGTGAATGGTAAAGAAATGAAAAGCGGACATAACTTACTTTGAAGCAATGCAGTCAGGGAACACAGAAAGGATGTGAAAAGTAGAAAAATACTTCTTTACTAAGCCACTCTGCTCTGGTTAGACCAAAATTTAGATTTTTTTATTTGTCAATTCTCTACAATTCCAAGTTTTATGAGTAAACCCAACCATGTTAAAGACAGTCTTAGACTAATGGCTACATTAAGAGCCCAGAAAATACTACATATTATTCTTATATTTGTTGTTTTTGTGTGTTTAATAAACATCTTGTATATATTACAGACCATACTAAAACTCAAAGTATTAAATGCTTGGTGTGATTGACTCTCATATGTAAATATACATATGATTCCAAATATTTAGGATTTTTAAAATAAATTCTTAAATAGCGTCCTTATTAACCCCTTAAAGACCAAACTTCTGGAATAAAAGGGAATCATGACATGTCACACATATCATCTGTCCTTAAGGGGTTAAGGAGACTTTCAAAGGATCACTCCATGAGCACTTCAGTGATTTAAAGTGGTTGTTGTGCCTGGCGTGTATATGAAATGCGCAAATACAGATTTTTGACCACCTCCAGCAGCATTGTTGGGGCATTATTAACCAGCCCCAAGCAAGAGTTATTGGCAGTATAATGTAAATTCTGTGCTTATTTGGCATCTGTTGTCTGCACGCAGAGCGTGCTTGAGGCAGGCAGACCACATCCTCCACCCATTCTTCCCCGATATCACTTGCTTGGCAGCTGGGGTGAGTGATGTCTGCATAGGAGGACAGGGCTGAGGGGAGAACCTGGCCTTGCCGCTGCCCTAGAAGTATAAGTTTAAGCCTTAGTAATGTATTTAAATATTTTTACCTTTGATCATGGGGGACCAGAGCAGAAATTTCATTATTAACAGGTAAGCACATATCTAGCGACTAACATAATTGTTGCTGACCTTGGAACACTTGCTGCCATGGATATGTTATTTGGCCTTTTACCACAGTAAAGCTGTGTTTAAAGCAGGTTTATGTGAAAGGGCTTGTTACTAGAGATACTACAGTGAAAACAGGGTGAGGCACAGGCCAAATAACATAGTGTAAGGAATTTCCTGCCCTCTTACCAAACTGGTATATTATCTCTCGACTAAAGCTTTTGTTTTGTTGCAGCATACAGATGAGGAAAGTAACAGTATAAACCAAATACAGGTCTGTTCACTAGAGTGACTATAGTCGGGAATTCAAAGTGACTTTCACATTTAAGGCCACGGTAACTAAATGGTTAGCATAAGTAACTAATGGAGTGGAGAATTTCCCCAGATTGGCTTCTTTGCCATATATTTGAGATTCACTTTGAATTCACTTAGAATTCCTGACCATTCTCACGTTGGTAAATAACACTGATAGTATGAATTTACATTTTAGGAAAACATAAAGACATGTAAATCATCCTTAAAGGATCACTATAGTCACCCAGACCACTTCAGCTCAGTGCCAGGTCCCTCAGGTTTTAACCCTTCAGATGTAAACATAGCAGTTTCAGAGAAACTAAGGGGGACCTAACGGTTATATAGTGTCAGGAAAACAAGTTTGTTTTCCTGACACTATAGTGATCCTTTAACAGGATAAGTTTTTAATTTGGCTTTTTTGACTTAGAATTTTACCTTCTGGCATTTGATGGTTCTATACTGTGAAATGGATCTGGGGTCCAGGTCCTGGTATTTTTGTGCACAAAAGAAATATAAGTGCATCTCTCTCCTGAAACAGTGCTCCCTGCAGGGAGGGGGCCGACCTCAGTGATGGAGAGGCAGCCTCGTGTGCATTCTTGCCAAGCTTACCTACCATTAGAGGGACACTGTAGGCACTCAGACCACTTCCGCTCATTAAAATTGTCTGGGTGCTATGACCCTTTTGAACTTAGTGCAGCAATGTAGAACATTGCAATGTTTAAATTGCAGCTCTAAGTCTGCCCTCTGTGGCTGTTTACCAGACAGCCACTAGAGGGCTTCCGGAATCCAAACCAACTTTTGGTCCGTTATCTGACGCTGGACGTCCTCACGGACCTCCAACATCAGATTTTATTAAAGACACGGAGGCTCATATTATGCATAACTCTTTCTTTATTTCCTCAGCAGCAAAGAAAGAGAAATATAAATATTATCAAAACTGAAGAAAAAACTGTATAGGCACAACAGGTAGCCAATCACAGGGTATAGGAAGTAGCTATATAAGTCTTGTGTCTCCCACAATCCTCCTCTTTCTTTGCTGCTTCCTCAGACAGATAAGTGTTTCTCTGATCTTTGGCTTGCATTGTGATTCCATTTTAATTTGTATTACAGTGTGTTTCATTTTATGATTTTTCATGCTGTGTGTTTTACTATTATTTGTTTTCTTATTGTTTGTATTGGTTTGATGTTTTGATTTTGTTTTTCCCCGGCTGGTGTCTCCCCTCTGGGCCCGCGGGTGTGTCTCTGTCCGGGCGGTCCCCACCCCTCCCCTCCTCTCTCCCCTCTCCTACCCGTGCTTCTGCACGGGACCCGACCTGCTGTGCTGCGGCCGCGATTTCCTCGCGACCGCGGCGGTGTACACGCTTCTCTCCTCCTCCCTCACTCCAGTTAGCGTGTCGGCTCGGCGGGTGGGTGCACGAGCCCCTTCCCCCGCCGAGTGTTTTCCTCGTGTGCCTTCCTCGTGCGGCGGCCATTTTGGGGGCGGTCTTGTATTCCTCCCAGTGCTGCCGTGCGACCGGCCACCTCGTAGCCCTGCTCCCTGGGGACACCAGCCAAAACGTTTGTTTTTCAGTTTTTCCTTGTGGGTTAATCAACCCTTCCCTCTCTCTCCCAGCTAACACCCTGGTGTTATTCAGCCTGCTTTGTTTGTAGTCAGTTTGGTCCCTATATAATTGCCATTGCATTATTATTTTACTATTTAAATTCTCACTGTCTATTCTGTCACTGTCACTACCATGCAGGATAGGGGTGATGGGCCTGTTGGTCCCCCAGGGGACTTCCAATTAGATAGTACTGATGGTGCCATGGCCTCCCAAGAGTTTCAAGCCATGTTAGAGGCCACTATGGCTTCCTCCATTCAGAAGGCTATTGCCTCAGCCATGGGAGCTGTCTCTTCAAATTTCTCCCAGTCCCTGCACTCTCTGATTTTACCTCCCATGGCCACCCCTGCCCTCTCCCCTGCTCAGACTGTGCCTGGAGCCCGTAAGGCAAAGGCTAAGTCCAAACATGTCGGCTCCCACTCCTCGATGCAGGTTTTACCTGCCATGACTGACACGCCTGAGGCGGTCTCAGATAGCGCGCACCCCACGCGCAAAAGAGCCCCTGGCCGGGCTAAAAAGGCTAGACTATGGAAAAGGGCTAGAGCCCATGATATTGGGTCGGATACCGACCGGAGTGTGGAGGATGAGTCCGACGCTATGGAGTACGACTCCTTTGATCATGATGATTCTGGCGAGGATTTGCCCCTTACGGGCGTGAACCCCTCCGGGTCCTCCGCCAATACCCGGGGCCCCTCACTTGCTCCCCCGGGGGGTGACACCTCGATCCTTGACCCGCAGGGCAACCCCCTGTTTGACCCAGACGACCTACGTCATCCTCGGTCCGCCGAGTGGGTTCCCCCAGATCACATCGCCCAATATGTGGCTAAGCGTATCCGCACGCCACTTTCTAGGGAAGGCCGCAATAAATTGCGCGCCGAGTGCCCACGCCCGTCCCTCCCGGGCGCGGCTTGCAAAACCCCGGACATTGACCCGCAAATTGCTCAATTCCTGAATAAGTCAGGATGGAAGCCCAAGAAGGGCCTTGACCACTCCCTTAAAAGCTGCCAGGACAAGATCCTGGATACCCTAGGTCCCCTTTCCAAGCTTTACGAGCTTTTGGATGCTGCCAGGACCGGGGACTCCGTCCTGGACGTGGATGTGGCCGTTGGTTGGGTCCAAAGAGCTATTTGCTTACTGGGGAATGCAAATACGGCCATGTCTACAGAAAGACGCAAGGCGATCCTCCTGAAGATCGACCCTAAATTGGCCGCTATGACTGTGGCGGAGCCTGGTCCAACTGAGGAGGGTCTCCTGTTTGGCACGTCCTTCGTTAAGGATATGGGTGCTTATGTCAAGACCTTTACGGCTATTGACAAGGCACAGGCGAACATGAAGCGCGTGTTCGCGCCTAAGGTTTTCGGAGGGGCCGGGCGTAGCAGGAACCGTCCACCCGGCCGTGGTTTCCGAAGGCGCATTCCGCGCAACCAGAGGTTCCTTCTTTCCCTCGAGAGGATTTCAGGAACAGAGGGCCCCTCCCTTCTTCCCGGCAAGAGGTTGGGCCTGGGGATCCAGATACCCCCGCGGTGGTACCCCCGGCAGACGTCCTTACGGTGAGTACCCTTTCTTCCCCTCACGCTCAAGTTCGGGTGGCGGGGAGACTGGCCTTATTTTGTCAAGAATGGGCAAAGATCACCTCAGATGCTTGGGTTTTACAATGTGTAAGGGGTTTCCGTCTGGAGTTTGTTTCCATGCCTGTCCAGTTTTATTTCCCCAGAGAATTGTCCCTCCCTCAGGATCAGGACGAGATGATTTCCACGGAAGTGGTGGAGATGCTGTCCAAGGGCGCTATAGAGGAGTTGCCGTTCGCCGCCCCAGGCTTTACGAGCAATTTATTCCTAGTGCCCAAGAAAGGAGGCGGAGTTCGCCCTGTCATAAATCTTCGCCCACTCAACGCTTTTCTACGCTACCAACACTTCCAGATGGAAGGTATACACTGCCTCAGAGACCTCCTACGTCAATCAGACTGGTTGGCCAAGCTAGACCTGAAGGACGCATACTTTACGGTCCCCATCGCTTTGGAGTTCCGGGATTATCTCCACTTCACCTGGCATGGGCGTCGTTGGCGCTTCACCTGCCTGCCTTTCGGTCTCTCCTCCTTGGTGCTTCACCAAGCTCATGAAGCCCGTGGTGACATTCCTCCGAACCCGGGGGGTTCGCCTCATTATCTACCTGGACGATATCTTGATTTTATCCCAGTCACGAGAGGATCTCCTCACACACCTGGGATGGACGACCGACCTTCTGCAGAAGTTGGGATTTCTGATCAATTGGAACAAGTCGGTCCTGGTCCCTGCCCAGTCCATAGAGTTTCTGGGTTTTCAAGTAGATTCCATCCAGCAGTTCCTGTTCCTCCCGGATGCCAAGGTGAAAGCCATCCAGAAGGAAATTCGGAGGGCCCTCCGTGTTCCAGATTTGTCGGTCAGACAACTGGCGAGAATTATCGGCCTTCTCGCGGCCTCTATTCAAGCAATTTTCCCAGGCCCCCTGCATTACCGAGCGCTCCAACGGCTCAAGGGATCACGAGTTCGCTCCGGTCATTCATACGAATCTCGGATAACATTAGACGAGGAGTCCAGGGACGAACTAGCGTGGTGGTTGGCGCACATGGAGGCATGGAACGGAAGAGCCATCTTCGGTTCTGCCCCGGATATAGTGATAGAGTCCGATGCCAGCTTACACGGCTGGGGCGCTCGTTGTGGCAACGTCTCCACAGGAGGCAGGTGGTCCGACACAGATAATTCATTACACATCAACTGCCTGGAACTTCTGGCAGGTGCCTTCGCGATCCGCAGCCTTGCTCCGGGGAGGGCGAATTGTTGCGTTCTCCTCAAGATGGACAACGTATCAGCAGTTCGTTACATAAATCACCTGGGGGGCACGAAATCCAAAATGTTGGCGCTTCTGGCAAAGGATTTTTGGCAGTTCTGCCTCTACAACAACGTTTAGGTGACGGCGGAACACATCCCAGGTCTGGACAATTCGGGGGCGGATTGGAATTCCAGACACTTACGGGACTCCGGGGACTGGCATCTACATGCTTCAGTGTTCCAGTGCCTGAACAGGTTGTGGGGCCAGTTCCAGTTGGACCTATTCGCGTCACGCCTGAACACTCAGCTACCGAGGTTCTACAGTTGGAGGCCGGACCCGGCTGCAATAGCGACAGATGCCTTCCTACAGGAATGGCCACCGGGTCTGATGTACGCCTTTCCCTCATTCAACATGATCGCATGCACGATCTCGAAATTGGTCCGCCACGATTGTCGGATGGCTTTGATCACCCCTCTATGGAGGTCTCGACCATGGTTCCCTCGGCTGATGGAACTGTCCATAGACTACCCTCGTTTACTTCCAGTATTCCAAGACCTCCTTCTGGATCCGGATGGGAACTCTCACGACCTGGTGTTGCAGCATCAGCTACCCCTCATAGCATGGTTCCTTTCAGGGGACCTTGGGTTATCCCAGACGTTTCGCAGTCAACTCTCCGACTCCTCGATAACGCCTGGGCCCCGGGTACACGGACAGCTTACCGACATTCATGGAGATCATGGTCTGGTTGGTGCATGGAACGGGCAATGGATCCCGTATCTGCCCCTCTGCCTTTGATTCTGGAGTTCCTCACGTTCCTATTTGATTCGGGCAAGGCATACCGCACGATCAACCTTTTCCGCTCAGCTATCTCAGCCGGTCACGAAGGTCTAGACGGTTCTCCGGTTGGCAAGCATCCTTTTGTCTGTCGACTTCTCAAGGGTATTCGCCTTGCTCGTCCTCCTCGACCTCGTTTTGCCGCCTTTTGGGACGTCAACGTGATGCTACAGTTCCTATCATCATGGTACCCCAATTTGGAGCTGACTCTCAAGCAATTGTCTGCCAAATTGGTTATGTTACTGTGCCTGATTTCTTGCAGAAGAGTCTCTGACGTTCGGGCCCTGGACTGGGACGCCGTTGCATTCACCCCAGAAGGCGTCACCTTTGACATTTCCAGGAGGACCAAGTCTGCATCTAAGTCACTTACATATCCTAGGTTTTCAGACTGTCCAGCGCTCTGCCCGGTGGATTGCATCAAGGACTATCTGGATGTTACACGTCCCCTTCGCATGACAGACCTGCACGATCTGTTCATATCCTTTAAATCGCCTCACCGGCCGGTTTCGACTCCTACTCTAGCACGTTGGGTGCGCTGGCTGCTATCCTCCGCGGGTATAGACACCTCAGTATTTACGCCCCATTCTGTCAGGGGCGCGATGGCCTCGAAAGCCTCTTCAGTCGGATGTCGCCTAGAGGACATTATGCGAGCGGCGGATTGGTCTCGGGAATCGACCTTCCGAACCTTCTACTTCAGGCCAATTGAGCACATCGCATCTCGTGTGGTGGCACAGCTTTGAACTTGCATAATATGAGCCTCCGTGTCTTTAATAAAATTCCCAGATTTTACTAGTAACATGACGTAAAGTCATGATTTTATTAAAGACACGGAGGCGAGTATTATTCCCTCCCACCCTCCCGGAGTGGAGTTGGGGTACGAGATGCTTGGTGGCTCTACAGGTATGTTTTTTCAGTTCGATCTGTATCCTATCAGTTGATTTGCATCTTTTGTACGGGTTGTTGTACCTTTATGCTGTGTACTAATTCTGTTGTTTTTATATTTCAGTACTCTGTTTTACCTGTGTCTCCTCAAGACTATGTTTGGTAAGTTTGCAGTTCTGAATTAAGAAATTACCATATTTCTCTATCTTTTTTAGCTTGAAATTGTCGCATCGTTTTCCCGTTACCCTGTTTCGGCCAAGTGGGACATCGTTCATCTTACCTGGTCTTCGGTTCGCAAGAAAGAGGGGGATTGTGGGAGACACAAGACTTATATAGCTACTTCCTATACCCTGTGATTGGCTACCTGTTGTGCCTATACAGTTTTTTCTTCAGTTTTGATAATATTTATATTTCTCTTTCTTTGCTGCTGAGGAAATAAAGAAAGAGTTATGCATAATACTCGCCTCCGTGTCTTTAATAAAATCATGACTTTACGTCATGTTACTAGTAAAATCTGGGAATTTTCGTTGAATAATGCTTTCTTATGGTAAGGTATAATGCGCGCACGGCCATTGCCACGCATGCGTGTTAGGTCTCCCCCAAGGGTTGACGTCGGTAGGGGAGGAGTGTGGGCTGAGCCTGACCCACGCCGAGGGAGATCGGCGCTGAATTCAGGTAAGTAGCTGAAGGGGTTTTAACTTATTAACCCTATAGTGCCAGGAAAACGGCTTTGTTTTCCTGACACTATAGAATCCCTTTAACTCTGTTGTACCTGCACTCTTTCCAGTGGGTCTTTTGGGGCAGAGCTAAAGACACAGTTACATTTCTGTCATGCCCCCTTTACCTCCCTTCCACCTGCGTCGTGATTCTCAGGGAGTCAGAGTTGGACGGTATGGTTCACAGCCATGTCCACAACCCTCCCTTCCCATTTTTGCTAAACAATTATAGTTTAATAACAATCACTCATCTAATTTACAGCACTAAGACTGCTTTGGTGCCTCTGCCCTCTCTATTTTCGAAGACGTCAGCATGCCTGCTGACATCTTCTGCAAACTCCTCCAGTCCAATGCTTCTCATAGAGAAGGATGGATTGGCCGCGTAGGGCCGAGTTTTGCTCTGTTTTGAAGGAGAAAGTTCCTCTAGTAGGAAGACAGACATTAGAAGTGTATGTTTTACATTGCAGAGTTAAAATGACAGGACCACTGCACCCAGACCATGTAATTGAGGTTAAGTGTTCTGGATGATTTTAGTGTTCTTTTAAGTCCTGAGGTGCAGGGCTTTACTCATTGGTCAGTAGTGATCAGCACTGCAGAGCTTAGCTCAGGATAGCTAACTGAAGCTCATAAGCAGAAGCAGTGGAGGTAGGAAGCCACACATGACAGACCCCAGATATAAAAATGAAGCTGTTCTAAAATAGTTTGACTATTTAAAATAAGGGGGTGCGTGGGCACTCATGGCACCATAACCACTATGCACAAAGAGTAAAATAAAAAAAAATTGGATTTCTCAATCCTTTACAATGGTATACTAAAGGCTTACGTTTGCAACATGACACACACTATATGAAACTGCTCTTTTGTTCTCTTTTTATTTATTTTTTTACTGACTGGATTTTCCTCACTTTGATTTTTATGTTATGAAACATACTTTGTATTTTCCCTTCCTTCCTCATTCTTTGTGTTGTGATCGGTATGAGTGCGGTTAAACCTTTTGTTCTGCAATATTGACTTTGTTCTGTGATAATCAGTTTATCTTATGTACCATAGATATATGTAGTAGATATACAACTTATATGTAAATATTATTTCTTTACATTGCTCTGTGTGTGCTAACTCCATTTCCCTGTGATAGGTACAGAAATAGATGGGAATATCCCCAATAATTATTCTATCTCCCTCTTTAGTAAGAAAAAAACCCTCAGCAAATAAAAACATACATGTGAATGATCTTAATATGGTGAATAGGTTCCGCCTGTGACCTTGGAAGGTGGCACAAATGTTGGTGTGAGGTGTATTCGTGAAAGCCGCAGGGCGAAGCATGGGTATCCCTGCAAGCGGAAAGTGGTTTGTGCCAGGTAGACAGTTCTATGAAAATACTCAAAAGTGAGCTGTACTGACATGGTACATGTCAGGTTCGGGTGGGGCTTCTCTGGCACTGACCTTGGACGCTGAGAAGGCCTTCGACAGGGTCAAGTGGCCGTACCTCTTTGGCCTACTCCGGGCATGAGGCTTTCTGGAACCCTACATGGTGGCGATTTGGGCCCTATACACAAACTTCAGAGCCCAAACACTGATAACTGGGGCCCGTCGTACCCCCTTATCCTCAAATAACAACACAAGGCAGGGTTGCCCCCTGTCCCCATTGCTGTTCACTCTCTCCCTGGAGCCACTATTGCAGTACATCCGACAGCATGCACACATACGACAGTATGTGTAGATGGACAACAGTTCAAAACATCAGCATAGGCTGATGACGTCGACCTTACACTCACAGACCTACTCAGCTCCATGGAGCACTTGACTAAACTGCTAGATTACTATGGAGACCTGTCTGGGTATAAAGTCAACCTGGCTAAATCCATGGCAATGCCCTTCCACCTTTCAGCCCCGGACATGGCACAGATCAGAGACACATATAAGTTATGCCTCGCTAACAGCACCCTCCCCTACCTAGGCATTAAACTTACAGCTGATCACACACTGTTATACAACCACAATTACCTGCCCACGCTCCGCAGCTTGATCCAGAACCTGGAGAAATGGACAGAGAAGCCTATCTTGTGGCTAGGCAGACTTCACTCAGTGAAGATGAATATCCTCTGCAGGTCACGAGAGAGGACTTGGCGGGGTTACAAAAGGCCATAGACATATTCATCTGGCAGAATTGCGTGTAAATTGCTATACTGACCCAAAAATAAAGGTGGGCTGGGGTTACCAAACATGTACTTCTACTACTTAGCCTCACAACTAGCCCAAATTGTGCACTGGCACTCTCCCCCAGACAACAGGAGCTGGATAGATATCGAATTACTCCTGATGGGAGCTGACCTTCCCCAGTTTTTGATATGATTACCCAAGAAGAACAGGGCCTTTATACACACTACTTGCCCAGCGATACTAAATTCGATCAGATTATGGGAGCAGTTCGCAAAAAAGTCCTCTCAGTAAATTCCCATCTCCAATTGCACCTGTACTCCATAACAGGGCCTTCCCCCCAGGGATATGTGCTAGAGACTTTAGAGGGTTTGAGCACACAGGACACCAAAGAAAAATACACTTGTACGTCGACAAAGCCCCAGTAACGTTCAATAAGCGCAAGGAGGTCGCCCCACTATCCAACAGGGACTACTTTAGGTACCTACAAATACGTGACTTCGCATCCAAACCAGAGGTGCAATTTTTTTTTTTTTAGCAAATGTACTTTCAAGAAAAACAGCCAAAAAGCCTTATATCCCTCCTGTACAGCCACCTTAGTGTGGAGGCTAACAAATGGGGAAACCTCAGATATACCGATCTGTGGGGGCCGACCTGGGCGAGGTACAGGAGGGCACGGATTGGCAAGACATACGGGAGGCATGCGCACAGTCCTCCATCTGCGTAACCCTCCAAGAGTAATCGTTCAAAACACTATTTCGGTGGTGCACCACCCCACTCAAAAAACACCACATGAAACTTAGCCCCACTGACACCTGCTGGCGATCCTGTGGTGAAAAAGGAACATACATACATATGTGGTGGAAATACCCCACAGTCAGTGTTTTCTGGAAGGGAGTGGTAGAACTAGGTTCTAAAATATTACAAAAGACGCTAGATTTGGACCCATGGGCATGCTTATTATCCAAGCCTACTGATGGACTACCTGCCATGAACAGAAACTACTCAACATGGTATACTTAGCAGCCAGACGAGCCCTGGCACAGAAGTGTTTGAACACTGAGCCTCCCTCCCTCTCATTGGTAGTGGCCAAAATAAAAGACAACTATCTTATGGAAAAGCTGACATCACAGGTCCGCAACACCATTGCCACCTCTCAGAGGTTATGGGACCTGTGGGAGCAATACACAGAGGAAATGGGATTGTAGGTCGTGAGAACAATTACACATAGCGACATACAACAACACCCCCGTGCCATGGGATTCTGAGATTCTACTATTCTATCCCTTCCGTTAATTTCATTACCTTCCTTACCTTTTGACACAGTGCCAATGTCAGTGTCTTCTATAGGGTATGGTAAGACTGCAGTATGCATCCTGCTTCTACGCCATCTGCTCATACACCTCACAGACAGGGGAGCTCACTATACTGCTACTCCGCACCTCACTGACTCTTGGGCTTTGCCACACTACAGCCATTTATGGCTATTGACATCGGTTCCAAGTGATTCCAAATGTCCCTCACCACTTAATACATACAAATACAGTTAGCACTAAATTGACCGCACCACACTGCCACGTTCATCCTTGTAAGCGACCATCTTAAATGTTTCATCAGAAAACACTAATAACAAACCAAAAATAAAATGCAAATTAATAGAAACTGTGGCATCGGGAGCCATGGTACGAATGAACTTCGGCTGCCACCTACATTCCCCTCATAGCGAAGTGCACACACCCTTAATGGCCATGCTGCTGGGACTTTTCTTACCTCTTTTTCTACCTTTCTGTTATACCTTTATTTTCCCTATGCTTAAACAAAATACTTTGACAGTTGGCCCTTGCTTTTCTCACAAAGGGATACATGGTCTGGAATACTGTAATGAAGGTTCTTTTACAATCTGATGCCTGCAATATTGTATTGTACGCTATATATACGTTACTTGTAAGTACCTTCCAACCTCAGTGTATCCTATCATTGAATACTGTCATCATAAGAATAAAATAAATAAATAAATAAATGGTTAGAAAGGATTGAGTCTACCCTTTGGATAGAATTGCATCCGGGAAATGGAGATCCCAGATGCCTCTATTACCTGGTCCTCACCCACTTTCTTCTCTTTTGTCTCTGTCTTCACTTCATTTCTTGCTCTCTAATTGCAAAACCTATCGGTTCGTTCCACGTGTTCTCTGTTGTTCTTCCTATATTTAGCTCCCTCCTATCTTGTTCCCTCCCCCTTCCTCTTTATCTCTCTAGAACTTATAGAGGTTACTTATAATTAAGGTTACAATAATTAATGATGACAACATTCCTTTCTACACTATAAGTCATTCTTTATTGCATTTGACATTGTAGTAATGTTTTACATTGGTTCTTTCCTTGATTGTTTTGTGTCTCCTGGGGTCATGCTTTTAGTCTTCTGCTTTTCTGACCTTGGTGAGATTGTCATTTTTCCGTGATCATCTCAATATAAATTACTTTTAAGAAAAAAATAATTGGTTAGAATTGAAAAGAAAATAATAATTTAAAGCATAGCTGTGATCTCAGAGACTTCACAAAATAATTCTGGGACCTCAAAAGTTCAGAAATATGCATTGTTAAGTGATTTATTGGAAAAGAAATACTTTTCACCTTAAATAAATTTACATTAAATGAACAGTGAACGCTACTCCCGATGGACGCATGAATTGGAATATAACTTGATTTATGCCAGTGTAATATGAATATTGGCGTTATCTTTTAAAATGTTACCTAGTAAGTAACTCTCTCCCTTCCTGTGATTGGTTTCCTGGGAAGGAAGGGGGGCGCTCATGGGATCAGATTGGTAAAAGGAAAGCTAGTGAAAGACTGGTGTTTCTATTTGAGATGCTGCTGAAGACTAGCTTGGGTTTTGATAAAGCTTTATTCAGGACCAACATTCTCAAATTAGAGCAAGCACCTTGGCATACCAATGGAATTTCCCTGATGATTTTTCCAATTTTAGAACCTTGCCCAAGAAGGGGATCTTTATGAGTTACTTTCAATATAAATACTGGATAGTTAATAACGCAATCTTTTTGATCTCATTGCATATTTCTTCTGAAGTTACTAGGGGATTAAACGTTATCACTTTTATTAGTCATATTCGTCATACTTATTTATTTATAAACAAAATAGTTTCATTGGCAACTATAGTACAGAGTAAGGTCTATTGATTTGGGGAAAGGAGAGGAGATGGCTGTCATAATGGAGGAAGGAGATCTCTGTCAATATGGATGGAGAAGTGAGGGCTGTCATGAGGGAGAGAGGTAAATTGAAGCACCGCAAGTGAACTAGCTAAGTATGCTTGTCGTCATCACGTAGTCCGCGCTGACAAGACACATGATGTTTGCACAGAATTGACAGTAGGCACCCCATAAGTCACATATGCGGGAGTACAACTAGCCCATGGCACAAAGGGGCAGATATCTCAGTATGTGCAGTGTTTGAAGCCGAAACTATGCATATACAGATTCCTTGCTTCATGATAACTTATAAAAGCAGAAGTAGTCATGGAGGTTGGAGTAACTATTTAAGCAGTTATAGTAAGTATATGGATAGTGGTGTTATAAGTGTCGGGAGTGCAGGATAGAGAAATAAGATAAGAAAAATAGGATGTACATAGAGTCCAATATTAGGACCATGAGATATGTACAACATTACAAGGAGTGTATAAAAAAGACAAGTGGAACCCAGTCTTCGTGGGTCCAGACTCTGTAAAAATGACTTTGAAGTGTCTATAAGGGCAGTAAATGTATGTCTGCTTGCCATGCCATCGATTTTATGTATATCTGTAAAGAGAGATGTTGATTAGGACGATTTTCACAGTTCTGCTATCTTTCTGTGGGCTGTTGGGTTAATTATAGTGATTAGCTTGTTTTGGTGAGCTTTACAGGTTTGTGCTGGACTTAGATTAGCTTAACGATAGAGATCTGAGAATCAGATTTAGACAGGATCTGAGGCAACAGCAGTCTAGTCCTGTCTCACAAGAAATGTACAGATGTAATAAATATTGCTCTATATATGGGGGCAGGTCCACCAAAGGTGATAGAGTATTGTTTTTCTCTAAGCGCCCAACTAAGATCAAACTGAGTATACGTTTGAGTAGACAGGGAGTATGGTATACGTTTCAGGGTGTAAAATACCAAAAACAAATGCAGGCAAAAAGAGAACAAATAATGTCCCAGATATATCTCTAGACATCAAAATCAGTAGTGTGAGGATGATCACAGTCTTTTTCTGCAATTACATTTCTAACATTCAGGATGGACAATATGGAATGTGGAAAGAGATGGAATCTAGGTATGCATGCGCAGCTTATCTAACACGAAAATGTTCCCACCATTCCTTCATATACAGCTCATTTACCCAGTGTTGGGAAACCATGTATATGGAGTATCGGCCAATAAATAACTTTACACGCACCACACATTATCTAAGCGTGTACGTCCAAAATTAATATCTATTTTACTGGGGTTTCTTTACAAAACACCATTGCTGATGCAGAATCAGGGGACATATACAACAAGTAAAAAGTATAATGTGATTTACACAATACAACACATGCAGTGCTTCATAGATTTAAATCTTTTATTAAAATAATCTTAGATTTTATCTACTGATTTTAATTCCACTGCATGATGGTGAATATGGTATGGATAAAACTGCAAGCCTATTAATAGAAAATTAGCAAATTCTAAATTGTTAAAAAATAAAAAAAAGAAGAAAGTTATAACATATGGACAGTTTTTTGTTCTTCATTAAATGTGTTGACAGATTGTTTGCCTCTCTATTTAGATGTGGCTGTTGCAAATACGATGGTTGCATGGCTACATCCTGGAAAGTCATAACACAGGTGTGGTAGATGCAAGTGAAGGCTTTAAATTGTAATGTCACCTTGAAAAGAACAAAGCGTATTTACATATTCACAGCCAGCAAGGATAAACATGAAACCAGAGACAGCTATCGGTCATGGCAGCATTACTGAAAAAGTTGGTGCTTTTAAAAACAAACATACAATAATGAATGCATTCTGTGTGTGTATTGTAAATCACAGCTTTGTTTAGTAGATGCGAAATGCTGGAAAGTAAACATTTATTCCAAGTTGCTAATTTGGAAAATTTATCCAAATTACATTTTTGGTTTGAAATTTGAGATTCAGTTTGAAATCCTGAAGATTCTCCCCAGGCAGTGTTTCTAAGCCCTAGGGATTCATAACTGCAATATTTATACAGCGACTGTAATTACAGCTATTCTGGAAGCTTTGTATTCTTTCTGTCTGACAGGAAGATATTTGGTTTTGACTGTTGATAGTGTAATAAAAGACACGTTTATTATAAATAGTATTTTGTGTTTTATTTTTTAATTATTATTATTTTTTTAACCAATGCCAAAAGGTAGAACAGAATATTCTAAGTCCCTTTTTTTAAACTTGTATAGCTAAGCCTTGATATCTGTACATTTCCTAGTGGAGTGTGTTGGTGAGTGATGTGTAAGCCTAGAGAAATTCAATAATCCCCATCCTGTCATGTCTATTTGAAATCACTGTCTTCAGTCGTACTACACTGTGCATTCATTTGGCAAATTAAAGAGGATTTTTGAAGTAGATATAGTTAGAAATATAGGTCAAAGTAATGGTGAACTCTCAATGCTATAGTTGCATACGGCACCTTCAGTACATTACATACATTAATACTTAGAATGGAGATATTAGGTATTGATTTGTAACAACAAAACTACAAAGGGATACTTACTGGGTTATTAAATAAAGTATGAATTTAAAGTGACTTTCAAATTTCAGGCCAGAGAAGCCGACCTGAAAGCAGAATTTTTCAGTTTAGACTATTTTGACGTAAAATTTGAAATTCTAATTTTAGTGAATAACCCTGGTAGGCTTAAAACATATACTTCATTACAAAATGATTTGCTAAGCAATAATAACCTACATACTCATTATGCTAGATTATTTCTTGTTTTATAAATAGATATATATATATATATATATATTAAGGCCTTTTGGCCTGTAATTGTGGGAGGGGCGTATGACACACCCCTTCCCTACTTAAGGGACACCCCTTACCTGTCCGTTCGAGGTCAGCGCTGCATCACCCTCCCACCACTCATCATTATTAACTCCCTTTTCTATACATTTCTTCTTGGTGGGCCCTCTTTATTTACAGGCCTACCTCATTGTCGGTTCCGGCACACCACAACCGACTTGCTCTTTTAATACCATCCTACACTTATCAGTGTTTGTTTCTTCTGTACTATCATGAACCCTTAACACAAATAAATATATATATATATTGTAATATTTATTTTGTAATACTTCTTTAATTGGAACTCAACTGCAGAATTTCCTGGTTGCAGCAACAATAAGTTTCACCTCCTTTTATATTGATATGAAACAATGGTCACTGTACCTTTAAATACACATGAAGGAAAATTAGGCTTTGTAGCAATCCCTTATGAATAAGAGGAATAATTAGACAAAGTGACACTTTAGTGAGTTTTAGATACTGTGTAACATAAATAATAGGAATTGGCTTGTTTGGTAAAAGTATTACTTAACTTAAAGGCAGTTCTGGCACTGGAAGGGTTAATTCACCCAATGAAGGAGAAATTAGAAGTCCGTTTCAACAAGCTGAGAACTAGGAGTGGAGAGTGGGGAAGTCCGTTTTAACAAGCCGAGGTCTGGGAGTGGAGAAGGTAGAATTCAGAGTTACAAGCCGAGGTCTAGGAGTGGAGAAGGTAGAAATCCGTTACAAGCCGAGGTCGAGAAGTGGAGAAGGTAGAAATCCGTTTACAAGCCGAGGTCGAGAAGTGGAGAAGGTAGAAATCCGTTTTACTAGCCGAGGTCTAGAAGTGGAGCAGGTAGGATCAAAAGTAGAGCAGCTGATCTTTCTGCAGCACCTGTGCGAATAATCCAGCCCTTTGAATCTGGCGCGGTCTTCCTAAGTATCGTGGAGGGACCGCGTCAGAAAAAAGGGCGGGGCTGAGCGCCGTGAACCCGGAAGTGGGTTCCGGCGACGAAATACATGCCATGCTATACCTGACATATATATATATATTATATAGAGTACAAGGGAGACTGCTCATTGCCCTGATTAAATAAGCACCCTTATTCTAGGAAGCCACATGCTTTAGTTTATAGGAAGGACTCCTCATGTTTTGTAACATGATTAGCTGTTCTGGATACAGTATCTGGATGACAATGCAACACGTTTTTATCCTTCATCTGGGAGCCTCCATCTTAGCTCCCTGTCAATTTTTAGTGTTTTTTTCTGTCATTTGTCCCTGGTAGTCAGCATACTATTATTTCTATTGTAGCTGCAATATAGTCCCCATCATTTTACAAGGACTGGATACTAGGGGAGAGTCTTTTGGCACGAGGTAGGGAATTCCATAGGAGTAGGACAGCCCTGTGAAAAATCCTGTGATGAGAGTTAGCAGTCCGGGAACAAGTGATGACAGGAGAAAGTAAGACCTGAGTGTAAAATGATGCCAAGATAGCGAGCTTGAGGGGCTGGGGTAATAGGTGTCCCATTGATACACAGGGAGATAGCTGGAGTTAGACTATTTGAGGGGGCAAACATGAGGAGTTCAGTTTTAGAAAGATTTAGTTTTAGAAAACGGGAAGACAGGTGTGGAAGAGGCAGTTTGTCATGACATGTTCAAGGAGGGCAGGAGAGATAAATCTGAGTAACGTCATCATAGAGATGCTATCGAAATTTAAAAGAGTTACTATGGTTACCAAGATAGGTGGTGTAAATGGAGACTTAAAGAGGAACAAGTGCTAAGCCTTGAGCGTAGTATAGAAAAAAAACATACAGAAAAGAAGAGAAATTAGACAATAATTCTATTTCATCTCCTCATTTGTAATATTTTCCCTGGTTTTTGCCTAGATTATGATGTCATTTGCATTTGCGTTAATATAAATTTAAACGAAAACAGAGCATCTCATGAAAATAAGGTTAATGCAAGTTCTAGGTGATTTTCAATGTTCTATTCAATGGAAAAAATTTAAGTGATAGATCTCCTTTAAGCACATCTCTCAGTATATTTTGTGCTTTGGTAAAGTTGCAAATTTCTGCTCTTGAAACATTTTGACAACAAATAAAGCAGATTATTTGTATCAAACATCCTATATGCTGGATTACATTTTGTTTATGGGCTTTGCTATTACCAAAATGTATTTCCTTGGTACGCAAACTCTTTGCTTGTGCTTGGTGTTCTGTTTTAGTGTTGTCTATTTTTAAGGTCTCATACTGGGTTATTGACTAGATTCTGAATTGTAGTGAACCTATTTCAGAATGGCAAAATATAGGCTGATCTAGCAACGCTTTGACTATTGTGAAGTTGGAGAATTGTCTCCAAACCAATTTCAATTCCAAGTAATTTCACTTCAATTCAGAGTTTACAGAAAAACATAAAAGGTTTTGGATGCACTGAATAAGGATGGAGAGTCACTTTAACATCTTAAAATTGTTCAATACATTTTTTTTTTACAGAATAAAAATATGTGGTGAACTAGGAACTGCTTTAAATTGACAATGTTATACTATAATACCAGAAATGTTTGTAGCCTATTAGAGTCATCTTTTTGCACATTATTTCAATCCCTTAAAGACCATTAAAAATTGTGAGATATTGCAGAGCATTGAAGAGCAGCTCCTGAGTTTCTCTGCTAAGATATTTACCTTGCATCAGGAGCTGGGGTAAATTGCTGTGCTTGTACCACACCTGAATCCAATCCCTAGGATCCATGCATGACAGCCCTTGCAATTGAGGTCTTCCCAGGCAGTGAGTTGGGTAGATGGCCGCCGCCGTGCTCTCATCCTCCAGCACACTATAATTTCCCCTTCCCTTTTGGACTGGCAGAGGTCATTCAAGTCCACCCTGGAGCCTTTTAATCTACTGACATCTCTGGTGTTCAGCATACAACTAAGATGGTGCTGAGTCCTTGCCAGTTTCAGTGTTGATACGAGACAAGTTGCCCTTAGTTATGGCAACTTTTCTCAATGCCTTTGATGCCCTGTGTGATTGATTTTTAAAAATCGCTGGACTAAGCCAGTGATTCTGGTCTGAGACATTTCCATGCTCACCCATGGAGCATACTGACCATGAGGCCTGATCTCAGACTCTTAAATTGCCACGGCTCTTCCTCACTTACCTAGGCTGAAGACCCCCCACGCTGAGCCACACCTGTTTCTGGCAGGCTACAGATCTTTGCCTGAATATTTCATATGACTTCTCCGAATTGGCCCTCTGGGTGCAGATATCTACCTGGCTGAAGTTATTAGGCATCGGTTGCTCTTTATATCTTAGAGACAACGTAAGGCGATTTCTAGCATCCCTTGGCACTTCGGCTTGCCTAATGGGCTTGTGAGGTGGGCTGTCCGCTTGCTCTCTGATAGAGGATTCGGTTGGAAGCCCATAAGCTGATGGACTGCACCTTTACATCCCGGAGAGTTGATTGTTTGTCATACAGGACTAGTGTAGAGGAGCTAACGTCCACAGTTGTTTTATTTTATTTTGCTATTTCATTGTTTATTCTCTTTTCTTTTATATATCTGCTGTTTTTGCATCACAGGTTTAAAGGACCACTATAGGCACCCAGACCACTTCAGCTTAATGAAGTGGTCTGGGTGCCAGGTCCATCTAGGATTAACCCTTTCTGCTGTAAACATAGCAGTTTCAGAGAAACTGCTATGTTTACAAATGGGTTAATCCAGCCTCTAATGGCTGTCTCATTGACAGCCGCTAGAGGCGCTTCCGCGCTTCTCACTGTGATTTTCACAGTGAGAAGATGCCAGCGTCCATAGGAAAGCATTGAGAAGGCTTTCCTATGGACTGGCTGAATGCGCGTGCGGCTCTTGCCACGCATGCGCATTCAGCTGATGACGGCGAAAAGGAGGAGGAGAGTTCCCCGCGCTGAGGGAGCCTGGCGGGGGAAAACAGGTAAGATTTAACCCCTTCCTCACCCTAGAGCCCGGCGGGAGGGGAGCCCTGAGGGTGGGGGGGACCTAGAGACCCTATTGTGCCAGGAAAACGAGTATGTTTTCCTGGCACTATAGTGGTCCTTTAACGGGACACTATAGTCACCAGAACAACTACAGCTTTTTGAATTTGTTCTGGTGAGTAGAATCATTACCTTCAGGCTTTTTGCTGTAAACACTGTCTTTTCAGAGAAAATGCAGTGTTTACATTACAGCCTAGTGATAACTTCACTGGTCAGTCCTTAGATAGCTGTTAGAGATCCTTCCTGGGTCATGGCTGCCTAAAATGCATCCAAACATTCAGTATCTCCTCCCTCTGCATGTAGACACTGAACTTTCCTCATTGATTCAATTCATCTCTATGAGGAGATGCTGATTGGCCAGGGCTGTGTTTGAATCATGCTGGCTCTGACCCTGATCTGCCTCTTTGTCAGTCTCAGCCAATCCTATGGGGAAGCATTGCGATTTGATCAGACTATCACTTCTGATAATGTCAGCATTCAGACTATCACTTCTGATAATGCTTGTTTTTTGTTTGTTTTTTTGAGGCAAACAGCATGCAGAATTACAGCTTCTGGCTTGAATATAGTAAGATTTTGCTATATTTATACAGGCATGAGGGGCTCAGGGGGGCTAGATGGTGGTTTTAACACTATAGGGTCAGGAATACATGTTTGTGTTCCTGTCCCTATAGTGATCCTTTAACAGCTGCTCCAGTGGTTTTGCAAAAGTCTTCTCCAATTATAGATCGTGTTGTTCCTATCCAAAAACCGCTCACATATACATCATGTTTTTCTATATTTTTGCTTGTATGTTATTATTACACGTGTTGATAAATTTTCAGTTTGACTTGTAATGTAAGCATATAAGAATAAAAAGTAAAAAAAAAAAAACCAAAAAAAAAAAAGATTTTGTAATTTCTAACATCATAGATCTATGCTTCTAGCTATACATATTTACTACTTTCAATCTGTCTAGGTATGTATAATTTTTCAGACCTTCCAATAGTTTAGTAGAGTTTTAAATTCTTTACATTTTTCTTTTGTGCATTTATGTCTTTATGATGATTAGATGATAAAAAGAAATGAAATATTCTAGGCACATATAATGTACCCAAAGGTACAGCTGCATCTTCATCATATAGCTATATTTCCATATAAACTAAAGTCATTTTTGAGATAGCCCCTAAATCGCTTTCATCTTCCATTAAAATGAAGTTGGATGTGAGCCGGAAATAATTTTGTTGTCCATGATTGTCCAACATCTTCTATAGTAGTGCTCCTCAATTGTTAGGCCACATCCCCTGTAATCAGTTCCCAAAGGATGTGATCCATTGTAGCGCCATCCCTGCTATAGGAAGGATGTGGAGTCTAAAATATATTCCTTGTCAGTCATACTGGGCAAATGCTAAAAAGGTTTGGAGAAGGCAATAGAAACAGTAGAGTAAATTAAATAAAGTGGGGTGAATATAGACTTTCTGATAAACAAACAACATGCAAGGGCAGAATGAGTTGTTAAAGGGCCACTATAGGCACCCAGACCAGTTCATCTTATTGTGATGTAGTGTCTCTGTCCTCTTCACTGTACAGTGTTCGTTATTGCAGTTCCTGAGAAACTGCAATCATGGCCTTGCAGGGTTAAGACTGCCTCTAGAGGCTGTCAATCAGAGGCACTTTTGGTCACCTAACTGATGCTGGACATCCACACGCTCTGCATGAGTACATCCAATGTCTGTAAAATCCCCATACGAAAGCATTGCAACAATACTTTCCTATGGGGAGGGCCTAAATAGGTCTGTGATTACTATGGACTGCCCCCTACCCCCAGATTTTTTTGTGGTTAGTACAATGATGTTGAAAATGATGAGGTTGATACAAAAATGAGTGAGAACACTATGGGACAGGGGATGGGGGGAGAACACTATGGGACAGGTGACAGGGGGGTAGAACACTATGGGACAGGTGAAGGGGGGGAGATCACTATGGGACAGGTATCGGGGGTGAACACTATGGGACAGGTGACGGGGAGATCACCATGGGGACAGGGAAGGAACACTATGGGACAGGAGTGGGGACTATGGGCAGGGGAGGGGCAGGAACACTGTGGGACGGGAGGGGAGAACACTGTGGGTCAAAGGAGGGGGAGAACACCGCGGGGACACGGGAGGGGGGGGGAGAACCTGTGGGACAAGGGAGGGGGGAGAGAACACTAAGGACAGGAGGGGGGGGAGAACACCATCATGGGAGGGGAAGAAACACCATGGGACAGGAGGGGGGGGAGAACACTATGGGACAGGGGAGGGGGAGAACACCCAGGACACGGGAGGGGGGGAGAACACTATGGGATGGGAGGGGGGAGGACACTATGGGACAGGGGAGGGTGGAGAAAACACATGGGGACAGGGGAGGGTGGAGAAAAAACACTCATGGGACAGGAGGGTGGAGAAACACCAGGAATAGGAGAGAAAAACACTATGGGACAGGGGAGGTGGAGAAACACTACATGGGACAGGGGAGGGTGGAGAAAACACTATGGGACAGGGGAGGGTGGAGAGCACCATGGGACAGGAGGGTTGGAGAAAACAATTATGGGACAGGGGAGAGAAAAACACTATGGGACAGGGGAGGTGGGAGAAAACACCATGGGACAGGAGGGTGGGAGAAAACAATTATGGGACAGGGGAGGGTGAAAACCACCTAAGGGACAGGGGAGGGTGGAGAAAACACTATGGGACAGTGAGGAAACACTATGGGACAGGGGAGGTGGAGAAAAACACTATGGGACAGGGGAGGAGGAGAAAAACACCATGGACAGGGAGGGAGAATAAAACAATGTGGGACCGGCAGGGGGGACACTATGGGACCGGGGAGGAGGGGGAAAGAACACTAGAAAAGAGGGAGGGGAGACGAACATTAAGCAGGGGGACCACTAAAAGAGAAGGGAAGTCTTTCATATTAGATTAATGAAATTAATGAAAAAGTGTAATATTACAAAAATTTTGGTAAAAAAAAGTTTTTAAAATCATTTGAGGAAAAAAGTCATTTTCGGTTTTCAGGCCAAGGGCATCTTGAATTTTCGGTTTCGGTGCATGCCTAGTCTGTGCTTGTAGCCGTACTGTCACAGAAGCATGTATTCCTGGAAATCATCCTCTCTTTTATATAAATGGCTATTTGTAGGTCATGAATTAATTAAATTTCTAAGATTAGTCACACACCCTAATTCAATTTTGTCTGTTTGAAATGTGGGTACGTGTGTAGATAGGTCATATTGTGTATTGTATTGTGTATGTTTACAGTTGCATCATTCTGCATTGACACAGCATAACAGTGTATTAACAGTCACTTAATCTCAAGTTCATCTCTTAATAGTTTTTCACACTGGTGATTTATGGTGATAAGGTTACCACAGGGTAAGGTGGAGACAGCATGAGTCTTTATAATGCTGTATTGCAAACAAAGTGTGATTTGTTAAGGCCTTGATTTGTTAATGATTGTATGAATACTGGAGTCCAGCTGATTTTAGGAGAATTTTTGTACAACTTCCCATTGTCAGTGACAAAATGAAACAATGGATGAAAATTGACGTCCTATTTTAAATGTATTAACTAGATAAAGCATCTAAAATATGAAATTGAAAGATACTTCCCTTCAAAGTTTCCGGTAGTTGTGCGTTTTAGCAAGGCTGCTTACAGCTACTAAAAGAACTCTCCCACGCCAAGAAGAGACCATTCCAGTTAGGAGCGTCCCAGTCTGTTGTGTAAGGTCCTGCAGTTTATCTATAATTATCTATAAGCTTATATTTGTAAATTACATTTCCTATCATGCACAGCTGACTTTGGAAACAACAAGATGAGGACACACACAAGGATTTAGATTGGTAGTAATGGCTGGTGACTAAGCACACGGTGAAGCATTCCCAACAAGAGTAAATGTCCCCTTGTTTCTATAGGGCTCTGCAAAGCACAAGACACACCTGTCAGAAAAATAATCACAGCAACTACAACACATGCACTGTAGTTGCTGTGACAGAAAAAGCAGGAAAACTGCCTGTATGATGGTTCTCTCCTTTGTCATTCAAACATTAGCACAGTTACCCTCCATGCCGTGAATTGAATAGCAAGAGAGAGGAGAACCATATATTTAATTTAAAACAATCAGTGTTTACTATGCTGAGTACATTTTAAATAATAACTGTTTGAAATAACAAAATGTATATATAAATAGTTGCTAGGTAAATCTGAAGGATCTGGAGATAAACTGAATATTTTTGAGAATGCCGCAGTAAAAATGATTAGTATTGCGTGACATGTTCTGCCAGGTAAACGTGTTTTTCTTTATTTTTTTTTCCAGTGCTCTACTCAGAGAGAGAGTTCCACAATGCTGCAAAAACCAACAATGTGGAGAAGATGCGGCAGCTGATCCAGAAAGGAGTGGATGTTAGGGCCAAGAACAGTGTAGGTACAGTATTATTTCTGGATACATTGGTATGGTCAAGCTTTGCAAAGTCTTGATATTAGGTTTAACACCAAGACCTGGCTTTAAATTCCCATCAAATTGGTAACATAAATGTTTGGATCAGGATGTAAAATCTGACCCCTACATTTGTTTTCAGTCATACAAGTCCATGTAAGTAGCCTTCAAACATGTGTAGGCTACTTGTGAGGTTCAGTGTGTGGAATGCTGCTTGCGATGTTGTGTTCCTGTATGCCAACGTGTTGTGTTAGAATTGTCTGTCTTCTTTTACCTATAATATTATAATATATAATATTATTATATAATATTAATATTCTGGTGCTTGCTTACAAGTCCCTACACAATGCTGCTCCAACCTACCTATCCTCCCTAATACACAAATATGTCCCGTTGAGGCCCCTGCGTTCTGCCGAATACCTACATCTATCCTCTATATGTACTCCAAGACTTCTCCAGGGCTGCACCTTTTCTGTGGAACTCAATTCCCTTCTCTGTTAGACTTTCACCCAATCTCCACTCCTTCAAAAAATCTTTGAAATCACACTTCTTCAGGAAAGCATATCATTTAAATTGTTAGCGGGTTTTCATCCCACCCTACCCCCCCTCTCCCCATTACTCCTCAGCCCATTACTCCTCACCTGCAACTGTCAAAAATAACCTACTAAGTTCTCAGTGATTACTTTTCTAGCAACCCATTTCATTACCCCTACTTATATCCTTTGTGTCACTATACCCCACTTCCTCTAGCATGTAAGCTTATTGAGCAGGGCCATCATCCCCTCTGTTCCTGTGCGTCCATTTGTCTGGTTACAACTGCTTGTGTCTGTTAGTCCACCCATTATACAGCGCTACGGAATTTGCTGGCGCATTATATATAATAAAATAATAATAATAATATTAATAATAACCGCTCCATGAGTGTTTCTTAAGACTGGGAGGACTTACAAGGCTTCCTCGTTTGGGTTACACTGAAACAGTGAGTTATAATATAAAGCTAGCCTGAGGTTGTTGGACTCTGCCTTTATCCTATAAAGTTTGTTTTATTGGTCCCCTGGGAATTAAATACCATTGCAGCTACAGTAGCTGATTAGGACAGACTGTTACTTTGCTGCCTGCAACATTTTTTTATTTTTTTTTTTGCTTTCATGGCGTTTTACCTAATATTGGCATTACTGGGCTGTCAGGTATAGGAATACTAGATTAACCGTGTGATGTGATGGGATGTTGCTGAATTGACTGATTGGGGACTATACTCGTTTTAGAATTATTGTTGCCAATCGCTACTTGCTGCTATTTTGTTTCGCTTTAAGACATTCTACTACAGCATTTTAAACACAATATCTACTGGAAGCAGCCACTACTATCTTCTTATTGCATTTATGTATTGAATAAGTGATATATATGATTTAAATCTGACATTTTGTATTTATATCACTATTATTTCGTGCCAACTGTTTATATCTTTAGTTTACTGTATATTGACTCGCTTCCCGGAGTGGCTGCTTAGTAGACAGTAGCTTATATTTAGGTTTTCAAATCTATTTATTATAGATTGAGCACACTCTATACTGTGTAGTGTTTTCTTTTATAAACATGTGAAAATAAACTGTTATCTGTACGCATGTGGGGAGTTATTTGGAGTCTCTGTGTACAGATAAGTTGGTATCTCAGCGTACATATGGAGGAACAATAATACTACAAAATAGGAAGATACGCAAAGTGCGTTTGTGAAGTCACTACAATAGTAATTAAGAATATACTTCCCCTCAGATTTCCATCTGGAGTATCAATATACAACCCCTTTTTGATACACTTTATCAAGATTCTGGAATAACATATACACATTGAAAACAGAACACAGTAAAAATCATAGCATATAATGCACAAAATAACAGTCAAGTGATTAAGCCCACACACATAACATCGAGTGAAACAACCTCTGTGACTTCACATAGGCACTTTGCACACCTCACTTTATTATTATTATTATTATTATTATTATTATACTTTCTGGATGATTATGTGAGGAGCAGTATGCACACTTTCTAAGGAAAGTAACTATGTAAAAAAGTAAATGTAACTATGGAAGCCTTTAGCACTTAAGCTGGGATCTTTGAAAATGTGGAGATAAGATGGTATCTCTGTGAAAATGTGGAGATAAGATGGTATATCTGTAAAAATGTGGAGATAATATAGCATCTCTGTAAAAATGTGACGATAAGCTGGTATCTCTGTGAAAATGTACAGTGTGGAGGTAAGATGTTATCTCTGTGTAGGTGTGAAAGTAAGCTGGTATATGTGCATTTGTGGAGGTAAGGTGGTATGTGTAGATGTGAAGGTAAGCTGGTATCTCTGTTTAGGTGTGGAAGTAAGGTGCTATATGTGTATATGTGGAGGTAAGGTGCTATCTGTGTACATGTGGAGGTAAGGTGGTATCTGTGTATATGTGGAGGTAAGCAGGTATATCTCCTTGTCATGTGGCAGTAAGCTGGTATCTTTCATGTAGAGGTAAGTTTGTACCTCTGTATACATGTGAGGGTAAGTTGGTATTTTAGTGTGTATTGGAGAGGTAAGTTGATTTCTGTATGTGCTCTGTGACTGTTCTCCTTGAAGACACTGAATCATGCACTCTCGTTATATTTTCCCTTTTCCTTCAGGTAGACAGGACAGCCTTACATTGGGCCGCCGGAGCTGGGCAGGAGCAGGTGGTGAGGCTGCTGCTGGAACATGATGTACCTTTGGACGAGGAGGACAGTGTATGTGTTTCACTTTCAAGGTGACATGTCATGCTTCTCATATTGCCTATACCGTTCTAGTTTAGAGCCACCTCCATTTTATTTATTAAAAAGCTTATGAACAATCTCAAAATGGAGAGACCAAAAACTTCTCTGGTTCTGTACTTATTTTCTCGCTGAGAACAATTGCTGTGTAGTGCAATCTTGCCATCAATGAGAGGTAGTGATGTTAATGGTAACTATTACCACCACTGGAAAATCTTTGACAGTGTAGAAGTTGCCCATAGCCTTACCACACATCTGGTCTTGGAGAACTGTGTCTAATAAAATAAAATAAAAAAACACACCCCTAAACTTTCTGAGGGGTACTTAAAATGACATTTAGATTTCTTCTAGAAACAAAACATATGTTATTTATGAAGCTTGATGTGCCCTTAATTGAGTGTCTCCAAGTCTAAAGGTTTTTCTTAATCGTAGTAATTGTTCTCCAGGCGCTCACACTTTATTGCTTGCCTTTAAGATAATTACTGAGCTGAAGGAAAAGAGAGATGGATAGCATTGATTTTCTTACTCTATGGGGTAACCTTTAAGTGGCCTACTTGAGTTATGAACTACCCATCACAATGAAAATGACCTAAATGGTTCAGGAATAAACATTGATACAACCATCTGATAAAATACTTCATCCAAAGTGGATCTTTGATTCGAGATTACTGCATTTCCTAGTTGTAAATAGCACGATTCTGTCATTTCCTGGTACAGGTCTACCATAATGGTCAATTCCATTATCTATGTGCTGTGAGCCTCTGGATTTTTCAGCTTGCATATTTAGGGAACTGATTTCATTAAAAATAAACTTATACATATAGATATATAAATATATATTATTTATTATATATTAAGCATAGTTTTATCCAATTATATGCTATAATACAGCTATACCTAATTGAACATGAATAGAAACAAATATAAAGGTTTATTAAAAAATAGCACATCCCACTTTTAGTAAGAAACTGGATTCTGCACATTCCAGTGACAGTTGTTTTGTACGATAGTATGTGAGGTAAGCTACTTTCCATGCAACATTTATAACGTTTCATGACTTCCTAAAGTACAGAGGAGATTCCCTGTCCACAAATGTCCAATGTTCCAGAGTACAAATGCTAAACACACTACCTGCCACATATCAATTGATGATACTAAAAAAAAAAAAGCAAGTACTAAACCACACTAGTAACTGTAAATGTTTAAACACCGTTATTTTTACTAGACTTCATTTACCAAGAAATCAGAGGTAAGTTTAAAACACTATACAAGCACAATGTTTCTGTTTTTATGTATATAATTTCTTCTTTATGTAATGTCACTGTGCAGTAGACATGTCTCGGACCTGCCCTTGAGTTATAGTTTGCAATATGGCCGCTGATGCTGTTATGCAATCATATAGATCAGTATGTGAATTAAATTGTTTTAATCTGTCTTTAGTTTGGGATGAATGCACTCCTCCTGGCAGCATGGTTTGGACACCTTCGGGTACTGCAGATACTTGTCAATGCAGGAGCCAAGATCAGCTGTCAAAACAAGGTAATGTTTGTTCTGCAAAATTCTTAAGCGATCTTTTTTAATTTTAGTAGAATCAGAGGTTAAAAAAAACAGGGTTCGGTTTAGCCCCTCTTTTAATACACTGTGGAGAAAGGGCCCTACAAAATGCAAACAAATAAAAACAAACTTATTCATTCTGGCGAGTCTGCACTGATATTTATTGATATCAGGAAGTAGCTAAAATCTTTTACAATCCTTATTCTCCTATAGATTTCAGTATAAAAACGGTGCATCAAGAGGTTATGGTATATGTAATTTAGCTTTGAAAAACTCAAATGAAGCCACTTGCTTTGGTTAAAATTAACAGCCGGATAGCTACTGTCAGCTTTTAATGCACTGGTTATAAGCCTGTGGGCAGGAAGTAAAGTTTGTGAGTCCCCAGTGGTTAGAAAAAACACATCATATGCCAGCAATTGGTTGTTTACTATGTCATTGTAAACTCTCTCTGACATGCCGAGTCGGATTAAGATTACCCATGGCCCTCAGCATATTGTCAGTTTGTGGCCCCCTCCCAGAGCCCTGGGATCTGATTCTGTGAGTTTTGTGTGTGTGTGGGATAGACTGTGTTGTCTATGTGGACGAGGCTGAGATCTGTATGGTGATAGGCTAAGTGTGCCTGTGTTTGCTGGTTGAGTGTTGTTTGTTTGGTGACTTTGTGTGTGGAGTCTGACAGTTTTGTGTGTGGAATGGCCCTCTGGGGTCCATATGTCAGCCTGGGTTCTAGGAGACTGTCTATACCGCCTTAGGAGTAATCCAGCTCATCCTAATCTAGGAAAATGTATATTAATGTAAACTACAGTCTGTATAAAATAAAAAGTTACATTGATATAATTTTGTAATTGTGGCAAACGTAGATCCCAGATGTATTTGATCTACATTTCCGTTGATTCTTTGTCAACCTTAAAGCAACTCTGTCATCCAGAATGTATTTGCATAGACCATCAATAGTGAGATCCCTGCCACATTCTTTTTTCATCTGTAGCTGCTAGCTATGACTGTGGGAATTGGCAAATCTTAAAGGACCCTGTGACAAACTCCCTTTCCCATGTGAGTTTGCCACGAGCTCCTGGAGGAGCCTGTTTGCCAGCCTCCTGCACACAGATTGTGGGCCCTGCAGGGAAACCTGTAAAAGACTGTTTAACTGGCTTGGTTCGTGCCCTTTCTCTATTCTGTTCGGGTACCGAACAGGCGCACGAACCATGGACCACCCAGGAGCTTGTTAAGCCTAATTGACAGTTTGTAACACGTTCCACCGCAGTGTTCTAATTGTTCGTCTGGGTGGCCGATGTTAGCATGAACGACCACGAGGTGGCGGCTATCTTGTTCGTGTGAATGCAGGCAGCAGTGTTTGGTCGTCGAGTTCATGGAAGTGAAAACAGACACTGAAACTCCCGAACACCGCTGGACTTCCATGATCACCTGCGTTCAGTTCTACACGACTTTTATTTAGTTCTGCCCTTTTTGTACATGTCTTCTAGCTTATCGTGTGACCATATGACCCTTTCTGTGTTATTCTACTCTTCAAATGACTTATTTTGTGTTACATTGCAAATTGCCCTCCGAGCCATTTTGATTATCAGTATATATGGTCTGTCATTCTGGGATTCTTGCTTGTCATAAATAATAATTAAATTGTTTTATTTACAGGATGGCTTAAACATTCTCCACTGTGCAGCGCAGAGGGGTCATATCAAGGTTTTGGAGTTTATTATGGAAGATCTTGAAAACATCAAGTTGGACAAGGTGGACAAGGTAAGTGTGCCTGATATAGATTGTAAGTTCTTTTGAGCAGGGTCCGTATTGTTCCTGTAACACTTTGTAATTGTCACATTTATTGTTAAATTCCCCCCTTTATAATATTGTAACCCCCTTTATAATATTGTATGCCAATAATAAAAATAGATCAGCTACCTAGATTATGTATGTTTAATTATTTGTACAGAACACATCAAGCATAGGTCCCAAATATTTCCTAGAAATTGGGAAACCCAGCAGCATAGCCTCCTGCTGAAACAAATTAGCTAATTACCACCTTGTAAATATATGGATGGATTGAAAAGGTAGCCTTTATTTTATGGCAAATTGTACAGGGCTTTGTACGAACCTCTAGTAACAAAAAAATACATGAAACGTTCATTCTCTCTCTCTCATTTTTTACTCTGTGTGCGGTAAAGTGAAGGATTAATTAGCTTCTGCATCTTTCCTCCAACCTGTGTTTTAATTGGATAGAAGGGCAATAAATAATGGTTGGCCACAGGGTTTCAAAGGCCCTCTCCCATATACTGTGGGTCAAGGATCGCCTTGTCACCTACTAGAGTGGCTCCCATCATGTTGTTAACCTCACATTCACCACACTGTGGGTGATAAAAGGCCACACCGTATAAAGTTTTTATTTAGAAATGATCTTTTTACTGTTCAGCTAGTGTAATTTGGAAACAATGTATGTGCCAGTTTCCTGTTTTCCATTTAAAGTTATGCATGATAAACCATAAATTAAAATATTTTATTATTTTTTTTAAATCATGCACAACGGTATTAAGGCAATATAGCAGTGTGTTGCATTTTCAATTAGCCGCACATCATTTTGGGCTATCAAGTATTAAATGATTGATAATTTATTTTTAATCAAAATTCTTTATTTTGATTTTTAATAGATACATGAAATAAAATAGAACATATTAACACTGTTTGGTATATGCCTATGTATTGTATATCTGTTCTCAGGATGTAGAACAGACATACAATTGTCATATTTTGAAACAATCAAAGTCAAAGTCTTGGTTGCTTTAAAGGACCACTATAGGCACCCAGCCCACTTCAGCTTAATTAAGTGGTCTGGGTGCCAGGTCCAGCTAGGGTTAACCCTTTTTTCTATAGACATAGCAGTTTCAGAGAAACTGCTATATTTATATTAGGGTTAATCCAGCCTCTAGTGGCTGTCTCATTGACAGCCGCTAGAGGCGCTTGCGTGCTTCTCACTGTGAAAATCACAGTGAGAGCACACAAGCGTCCATAGGAAAGCATTGTAAATGCTTTCCTATGCGACCGGCTGAATGCGCGCGCGGCTCCTGCAGCGCATGCGCATTCAGCCTAAGAGGAGGAGAGGAGGCAGAGAGCTCCCCGCCCAGCGCTGGAAAAAGGTAAGTTTTTACCCCTTTCCCCTTTCCAGAGCCGGGCGGGAGGGGGTCCCTGAGGGTGGGGGCACCCTCGGGGCACTATAGTGCCAGGAAAACGAGTATGTTTTCCTGGCACTATAGTGGTCCTTATATAGGGAGTATACAGTGGATCCATAAGCCAAGGCTCTTTTCATGGGTGGTGAGCCTGAGTGAATAAAGTAGACCAAAACTTAATGTGCATGGAGGGTAAGTCCCATAAATGATCAACACATTCAAATGATAGATACTCTATTTTAATCCAAGTGGTGGAAGTGTTTTAACAGAGCGTTTTAGTAGTGAGAGAATGTTCACACATTCCACAAAAAACATTAATATGGACTCTGGGGGAAGAATCTAATTCAAGCAATATTGTAGTCACCTAAACAACTTTGACTTAATGAAGCAGTTTTAGTGTATAGAACATGCCTCTCAGGTTTCACTGCTCGATTCACTGCCATTTAGGAGTCAAATCACTATGTTTCGGTTTATGCGGCCATTGCCACACCTTCCCTGGCTCTGATTGACACCGCCTGCATGAAAAAAAAACTGGTTTCACTTTCAATCAGATGTAATTTACCTTAAACAATTGTATCTCTTGCTCTGTAAATTGAACTTTAATCACATATAAAAGGCTCTTGCAGGGTCTAGCAAGCTATTAACATAGCAGGGGATAAGAAAATCTAAATTAAACAGAACTTGCAATAAAGGAAGGATAAACATTAGATGACTCTTTACAGGAAGTGTTTATGAAGGCTGTGCAATTCACATGCAGGGAGGTGTGACTAGGGTTCATAAACAAAGTGATTTAACTCCTAAATGGCAGAGAATTGAACAGTGAGGCCGCAGGGGCATGATCTATACACCAAAACTGTTTGATTAAGCTAAAGTTGTTTTGGTGAGTATTGCAACACAGTGAGATAGTGCTTTATGGGATGTTTCATGTAAGTTCAGTATATGAATACCATAGAACACAGAAACGAGTTGGTGGGTAGATAACAGAGGACTTAATACTCATCTGATTTTTAAACGGAAGATCATTGCAGAACCCCTTTGTAAACAAGGGGGTCTTTAGAAACCCAACACCATGTTTTTTTTGTTTGGTTTTTTTTTGTGCGTTTTTTTAATGCATTGAATGTTAGGATGTTTCTTTCTGGAAATTTGCCTCCCTCTGTAGCAAGTTCAGCACGATGGCTTTGACTCAAGTGTGCTTTTAGAGCTTAGAAAATATATATTTTTTGGAGGCAAGGTATGGTTGGGGGTTAATCAGTGGGAAATGACCTAATTTTTACCATTCTTTGTCCTGCTCTGTATTCGGCTTACTGAATTAAAACAAGCAACATTATATAATCTCTTTGGAATGGGGAAATAAGAGGAATAATAAACTATTAAATCATCATTTAACATCTGAGGAGCTGACCTCACTTAGCAAAGCTCCGTGAAACTGAATCATAAAAATTCTACAGCACAAACACAACACACCTGCCTGCTACCCTTATATTGTTTGTTTAACAAAGGTTGGGGAATGCGTGTATACTTTACAACAGTGTAATGTAATTATTTCTTACTTCATAAAAATAAAACCGGATTTTCCACCAATGCCACATGGTGGAATGTTAATATTTCACTTTCCTTAAAAGCAAGCTGTTTCTTTAACATGGAGATAGCTTTAAACTGATTAACCTGAAATTAGAGAGAAAGAGCAGATAGTATTACGATTGCAGCAAAAAAAGTAGTCCTATTTCTTTATTTCTTCAACTGCACAGTATTTCCTTTGCCAACCGGTGCTGAAAAAATTAAAGATATCACATTAATCTTTGTGGATATTTGTGATTTTGTTTCTCCTATTTCGAACGCTGACAGTCAGTGTAATTTACTAAACTGTGAATTATAGAGAATGTAAAATGAATTCAATGTGAATTTCAAATTTTAGGTAGGCCAGAGTATCCAAATTTAAAATGTTCTGTAAGTCAGCTAGGTTTCCAGTTCACCTATTTGGGTTTTGTTTTAAATGTTTTTTTCTTTAATTTGTTTAGCAGAAGAGCAGTCATATAGCAAATGATACATGCAGTTTTACATTTACCTATGCAGAGGTTAAAAAGAGTAATGAAAGGTAATAACATATGCTATTTTGATCTGTGTGAAATTTGAAATTCACTTCTAATCGACACTTTGGTGAAAAATTGTCAGTATACGAAGTGCTAGATGCTTTACTGGTAGACTGTTATTTGAAATCTTCACTAAATATTAGCATGAAGGTGAGAAACGAGTAGGTGAAACAAATAATTTAACAAAATTTTAATTTGTATTTAATACTTGAGATTATTTAGTAACCAGTTAGTAACCAATCAAATTTACCCACAAACCATCAGTAATATCAATCCCACAGAAAGGAAACTGAAGACTCACGAATTTTGTCATGGATGGAGAATTGGATAACTCTAGGGAAGAACGTGATCAGCAGCATAGAGGGGACAGTGACAGATTAGCGCATAAATGCTCCAGATATATGATTGAATGTGGCTTATACGACTCCTGGAGACTGATGCATGAGAATGAAAGAGATTTTACGTATTATTCTGTCTCTAAAAATATGTATTCCAGGCTAGACCAGTTTATAATCCAGGGTGCTTTAATCCCGCACATCTTGAAATCTGATATCTTAGACATCAACTGGTCCGACCAAGCTCCAATCGTAATGCATATTGACGAAATTGTTTCATCAGCCCCAGAACCTGGAAATTAGGCGATTATTTGTTAAATGATGTTGTGAACAGGTTATTGACGGAGAAGGCTTTGAGTGATTATTTTTCAGAAAATGCCTCACCCGAGGTTCCTGGCGAGGTGACTTGGAATGCGCATAAGGCTGTGTTAAGAGGTCATTTTATTTCTAGAGCGTCTCATCTGAAGAAAATTAATAGCAATAATTTAAGAACATTGGAAAAAGAATTGTACAATTTGAACCAGGCTAATACATTTGGTCCATCTTCCTCCCTATCAGCAATGATAGGAGAAATTAAGACTAAAATTAACAAAATTAATTTAGATCGTACATCTCTCATGGTGAGACGTCTCAGGAAAACATTTTACTTAAAAGGCAACAGGGCCTCAACTCTTTTGGCATCCAAACTCCGGCATGTGAATGCCCAATCAAAAATAGCATATTTACTTGATGATCAGGGGCGAAAAGTGTTTCATCCAACTAAAATTATGATATTGTGATATGTTTGCAGAGTATTATAGTAAACTTTATAATTTAGAATGTAATGCGGACCTTCCCCAGCCTTCTGCAACAATAATTGATAAATTCTTAGACAGAGTGTCATTGCCTCGGCTGTCTCCAGGACATTTAGAAAGCTTAGAATGTGAAATATCAGCAGTAGAGATAGCTGAGCCGATCAAACTTATGCCATCTGGAAAAGCCCCTGGTCCCGATGGATTTACTATTTTATATTATAAAACCTTTCCAGAAATTTTAATTCCCCATATGACTAAAATGTTCAATTCCCATAAGTCCGGGGGAAAGATGCCGGAGGAGTCCTTGTGCGCACGAATAGTCACCTTGCCAAAGCCGGGAAAAACTCCCGATAGATGCCCTAACTTTAGGCACATTTCTCTGATTAATAATGACTCAAAGATTCATTCTAAAGTTCTCGCAAATAGATTAACCAAATTAATCCCATTGCTAATTAATAAGGATCAGGTAGGTTTTGTACAGGATAGACAGGTGCCAGACGGAACTAGAAGATTCATAAACTTGATTCAGCACATCAATATGACCAAAACGCCTTCTTTGCTTCTCTCTCTAGACGCACAGAAGGCGTTTGACAGGATACATTGGGGATATTTATGGATAACGTTAGACAGGTTCAACATACCATCATCCTTTATCACAGCAATTAAGGCGCTATATTGCGCGCCCTCCGCCCATGTCTCAGCTTCTGGCTTCACATCCAAAACTTTTTCTCTAACTAATGGGACTAGACAGGGGTGCCCTTTATCTCCAATTTTGTTTGTTTTAGCGATAGAACCCCTGGCCGAACTAATTAGAACGACTCCACAAATTGTAGGAATTGCTATTAAAGAATCCGATCACAAAATTGGCCTGTTTGCAGACGATATAATCCTAGCTGTCAAAAACCCAAAAGAATCTTTGAGACACCTCAAGGACATTTTAACTCAATTTGGCGAGATATCGTACTACAAATTAAACGAGTCCAAAACTCAGGCCCTCCCGTTTAATTTAAATAATCTGGAAACCATTGCCAAGAAATCATATTTATTTGATTGGAGAACTGACTATATGGAATATCTTGGCATTAATTTATGCAAAAATTTGGTCAATATGCACAATCACAAGTTGAGGAAAGCATGGTCGGACTTACAAAAAGAGATGGAGAGATGGGGCGGGATGGAGCTCTCATGGCTGGGGAGGGTCGCATCTATTAAAATGACGATACTCCCCAAAATTTTATATTTTTTTAGGACCATTCCTCTGTCCATCCCATTATCATTTTTTAATAAAGTCCATTATCATTTTTTAATAAAGACAATGCTGAAGTTTATCTGGGGGGACAAGCCTGCCGAGTGAGGCTCACTTCCCTGCAGCACCATAAATCAAATGGCGGTATTGGTGTCCCCGATATCCGCAATTATTATTTCGCCACTAACGCTGCAGTGGTCGTGAGCTTTAACAACCAGGTTGATAAACCCAGATGGATGGAAATAGAAGAATCGAAAATTTTACCGGTTAGATTATCAGAATTACCGTGGTTAAATCTTATGAAAAGACCTGGAATTACAAAATTATTTTTATCTACCAAGACTATGCTCAAGGCCTGGGACATTGTTTTTAAAAATGACCAGTCTCCCAGTTTATATAGAGCAATGCCTATTGAGTTATTGAAAGATTATATACCATCCTTAAAAATAGAACTGTTGAAGGATTGCTCTATAACTAATCTGGATAATTTTTTTTATGGCAATGCTATTCTTTCTTTGGAAAAATTGAAGCTTAAGTATGGATTATCAAATGTATGTGAACTGGAATGTATGCTAATCATTGACAAGTTGAAAGAACTATACCAGGTATCTGAAACAGATAAAAACTATAATTCACTTCAGATATCTCCTTTAGAGAAAGTTTTTTTTTATACAGCCCCGCTAGTAAAGGTTATTTGTTTTATAATGCCAAGCCCTTAGTTAAATTAAAACATATGTTGTCATGGGAGACGGAGTTGGGTGCCCAGTACGATTTAGAAGAATGGTTCGTTTTTTTTTAAAGGTTTAAAAGGTATTTCGTATTGCACTGACCATTTTGAAATTCATTATAACATTTTATATCACTGGTACCTGGCTCCGTCTAGATTGCACAACATGAACAATATGTTCATGATCTAATTATTAAAGTGAACAGAACCATTAGCATCTTAACTTCGGAACTAGCCTTATTTAAAAAACTCCCGGAATCCGTTAATAGATCAGATAAAATAATCATAGGCCACATTCTGATTGCTGCTACATCCTGTTTACCTAGACATTGGAAGTCCCAAAATGTGCCATCTCTTAGAGAAGTTTTTAATTTGATTCTAGAAAACAAAGCACACGAATTATCGCATAGAGCTAATATGCATGGTTTCCCAATATTAAAACATAATTGGGATAAATGGGAAGAAAAAATCAAAACAGTTTATGGTCTTTGATATATTTATTGTTAAAGTGCATTGATGTACAAATGTTTTGCCATATACATTGTTATGCTTATTTCAATGATGGATGGATACCCCTTCCCATTTCCAAGTTCCTTTCCTACCCCTAATACAATGTTTGTATTATTATAACTTGTTATACACAATTTTAAAACTTTAATAAAAATTATTTGAAAAGGAAACTGAAGACCTCATGGACAGAGGAGAATAAAATGGCTGCACCCAGATATTGAGATCCAGCATAGGCAAGAAAATATAATAAATAAAAACAAAAGCAAGTGGCAATGAGAGGAGTATAATCATTAGGATACATGGGGTATAAGGAAAGAACTTAAGAAAAAAAAATTACAGGTCCACTTTAAGTAAGGTGTTTTGACAAGCTGGAGGGTTAGAGGAGGTCGATGTTTACCAAAAATCTATGGTAGGACAAGTTTCTGTTCTGTTCTGCATGACATAATGCATCTATTGATTTACCAAAAATGCAAGGTGCTTTACTCTGTTCTCGGCCATAACGATCCTACCTGTTTAGTCACACTGTCTCTAGGGAGAATGTTCTAATATGAGCTGTGTGCATAGCGTGACTTAAACAGGGCTTATCACCTTGATGGCTCACACTCTTGCCCGGGAGGGTTTTAGAGGACCAGCAATGGCGAGGCATAAAATACATGAAAATGGTAGCACTGATATGTATAGTATCACTTAAGATTGCATACCAATCCAATTATATAGTAACAACAGAAAGTATCACATTATCACCCATGCACCGTCCATTAAATATGCATCATCCTTTGCACACATCAACGACATGGCATCCATATACGCACTATTGTCACTGAAATAGCACAGATCATGCTGTACTTTAACCTCTGAGGTCCTGGCTTTTGGTGGTTGTCTTGTACAGTGGCTGTTTTTAAGCAGATACAAACCTACACTATATGCAGAGATATGACGTCATGTGGATGATTAGCTTAATTTTACTTCTCACATCTTGCTGTCTAACTTTGCATTTCTACACTAGAAGATTGCAACTCTGTCAGTGGGAAAAAAGATTGTAGCATGAAGTAGGCTGCTGGTGTGTATCAGAAACATGCAGCCATAGTCAGATCAAGGCACAAGTAGAAAGTATTTTAGAGTGACAATGCATAATTTAAAAGAAGAACACTGTCTGATTAACGCAGCACTGTCACCATCTGAGGACTTTGCAGAATTTGCAAAGACCCCCGATGGTGATATTGCCACTGGTGGTCTAGTGGCCAGGTATGGAGCAGGCAAAAGCAAGTTCTACTTATCTGAACCTGTCCTTCGTGGGTGCCACCAACTTCTTGTGGCAGGTCCTCTTCAACTCCAGGAGCCAATGTCACTGAGGTCTATTGGAGGTCTACTGAGTTGTATGGAGAATCCTCCATAGATAAATCCAATTTCTTGCAACTGTCACTGGTGATGGCTGGGGGTGCTGTCATTTCTAGATGGTGGTAGCTCCGCCCAGTGCCTAGGAATGTCTGGTGAAGGAAATATGTAGAGACAAAGTCTCAGTATATCTCTTGACTTTAATTCAGTGAAATTCCAACCCAGACAATATGATTCTATCTTTATGAAATGCTAATTTTTCAGGAGGAAATGGGGGGGGGGAGGGGTTGAGGGGAAGGAGGAGGAGGTATAACAGTGCCCCTTTAATGCAGGTGTGCTCATACACGCTACTTATAAGACACACAAATACATTTCCAAATAACCTGATATGCCAGTTGTTGTCATGGTGACAGAGCAAGACCTTTGTAAGAGTTTAATGTTTTAATAAGTAAGGTTATTTAATGAGTGAAATGGGTGTAGTTTTAAATAAATGTGGGTTATTACTGAAGAAGTACATTTTACTTCTCTTACTGTTAAAGATACACTAGGCCTTTTGTCCCCAATAATTTTAAGAAGAGTGCATAATTGTAATCTTATGTGCCACGTTAGTGTGACAAATTTGCAAGTCGACATTTATAACATTGCGAAAGGAAACAGTTGAAAAGAGAGGAAAGAAGAAAGGTTTAGTTTGGTGGAAAACTGACATCTTAACTTTTTCTCTATAACCAATGAAAAGCTCTTATAACTTACATTTTTCAAATACATGTCATTTTATACTGTACAGGAGGCCTCCATTCCTCATTGTTAAGCCTGTAGGCCAATTCAATATCTGACATTATAAATAGGAAGTGTCTGCTTAGGAATGCACACTTTCTACTATGCTTCAGGACACTTTAATTTCTAAATTTGGTCTCTCAGTTTTTTGTGATTTATGTACTCCATAACAATCTGTGTGTTTCTTTTACAGCTAGGCAAGACAGCTTTTCATCTGGCCGCAGAACATGGAAAGATGGAGGTGGCTGAATTTCTGATTGGCTCTGGATGCCAGCACAGCTTAAAGGACAAGGTAACAAAGTTACACTAACCCTGGTAGAGTATCAAGTGTCTGAGAATTACAACACAAGATTATGCTGTGCCACAGCAAGCAATGGGTCCTTTAACTGCTAGCTTCTAACATTGTATGTTTTGTCCAGAAAGAGAGATTTTTTGTAAGGTCTTGACACACTGTTTTGGATTCTACAGAGTGTAAATATGTGGTAATTAAATGTACGTTATTAACACTAATTAACCCTTTATGGCTAATTCATTTCAGGAAGCCAACACAGCACTGCATCTGGCTGCCAAGAATGGACACGTTGACATCCTGCAGAGGATTGTGGAAATTGGAGTTGATCTTAATGAAAAAAACCTTGTAAGTGTATTCATAATGTGCCTTTCTTCGAGGTTGCATTGTAGGTATCAAACTTCATAGACTATTGTAAAACATATTGTTGGGATACAAACGAGCATTTTGGGGACGACCAGTTTTTTAGTTGTTTATTGTAGTGTTTAAATTACTTGGAATTGACCTACCATTTCCTATGCCAATAATCAAAATACTGAATTTCTGATAAAGGAACCAGGAGTTGAAATTGCTCTTGTAGGATCACATTCTAGAACCATGTCAGGTGACATTTGAATTAGGATGGAAAAGGCCAATTGCAAAATCCCAGTGAACCTTAATAGGTATTAAATCAAATGATTATGGGAGGATAACTGAATTAAATGGCTGATGCCTTTTTAGCAATGTATTCTAGACTGCATTACAATGCAAAGTGGAATATTTAATATATTCATTCATTTACAGTACAGGAAATGGATTAATTGAAAGCTTGGCACTAAGTCTGCAGAGCTTCATAAGTGGAAACAGCCAACATATATAGATAAGATATTTACTGTGATAGAACACTGATGGTTTTTCTGTCATGTAATGATGTGTCTGTATCCTGATTGTCAGCCTCACAATTCACTTAAGACCAATACATGCAAGTAAGTATGATTACTTTACATGTTTGTTCATATATTGCTGGTCTTGATCAGTAACATGCAGCCATAGTTAGACAAAAGTAAGGTCAGGCCACAAGCAGACAGTGATTTTAATATAGTAAGGTCAGTTATGAGTAAATAATTGGCTCACGTATATTTAGTAAAATATAGTAACACTGTATTTTGTAAAGTTGATGCAAAGGAAGGAGGGGTTTTGCTGATAGCTGAGGATATTGGCAAGTAATTTACTTCAGGGAGCAGAAACCTCACTGGCTGAAATAAGCCTTGTTACTCTGGAAGTCTAACCATGTCATTGCTCTCATTGGCTGTGAAACATGATGTAATTGGCTAAAAATAAGATGCGATTAAAAAAGAAAATTCTTAAACTCAGTAAGATTGTAAAAGTCTTCGGTTCTCCAAACATGTAATTATGGGGGGGCGGGGCGGGGCCGCCGAGCCGACTGGACGCCACATGCATGGGCTCCAGCTCTAGGCTCGTGAAAAGGGCTTAAAAAGCCGACATAGACTGCTGCAATGCCGGAACCGTCGCTACCACTGCATGGAGAGGGTTACCAGCTTCAGCCCGATACCCCGCAGGAGGCACAACACGCACCGGGTGAGCGGAAACAGCCACCTTCGGCCTGCAAGCCGACACAGGCCTGTCCTCGTGCTCCCAGACACCGCGGAGAGGCACTTTGCGGGAAAGGGAAAAACCACATGAACTAAGCCTCTGGTCGTGGGAGGATACCCCGGCTCGGGGCACGGCCCCGCTCCCCCCCGGTCCGGTGGGGGTTATCCCGGCATCATGGCGGCGGCCCGCACAGTGGCGGGAGTTCCCGCGCTCGGCCTATGCCGCCTGCCTACACTAGCAACGGCTGAAAGGGAAAAAACAGCCAGCTAGCAGATATACGGGCAAACAGCTGTATGAGGAACAGCAAGCCAGCAGGAGTTGACCCTGAAACAGAGGAAAAGGGGATACCGCAGGGAGACACACAGCCCATGAACTAGCAGGGACGGCTTACTACTTACGAAACAGCCCGCAGAGAGCATTGGCTAGATAGCGCAACGGATACGAGGAAAATCACCTGCACCTCTATAGAGACATTTTAGCATAGCATATCACACCCTGAGGGCCACAGCGGAATAAAGCACAGGGGACTGACATGGACGGCCGGTGCAGGCCCAGGGGATGCTGGACACTCGACGGACACTCTACGCGGCCCACAAGCTGGCTAGAGCAGTGAGTACCCCAGTCTCTGGGTATGGGGGTCCCCAGGGAATCATGTCCCCACTGCTGCGAGCCCTGTGAGGCGGGAGTGCGCCGCTCTACCGGTGGACCGGTGGCCGGGGGGGCGGAGTACCAGCCTTAAGCGTGAGGCCGGCACTGGGAGAGACTTGGGAATGCTCACTCCAAGGGGAACAACGTGACGCTGGGGAGGTGCAGGGGGCAAGAGTGCCGCGGACTTTGTGGTGGGGTCCGACAGACAATCACTGCCCCTGAGTGCCCACGGTGCCGCGAAGGACCCGGCCGGTGAACTGGTGCCAGAGTGGGGGGGCCGGACGAGGGCTCGGCGACCTGGGGACTGCACTGCAGCAGAGACATGTGAGGCCTCCCTCAGCTTTTCACACAGGGCGACATATTGTTAATAATGTTTACTCTTTACCTGTTCCTATTCCTATAATACGCATTTTGAAATTACGCCTGACTGTTACGCTATAAGACGACCATACACGTAACCATCCCGGCTATAGTACTATCTAATGTTACACTGTAGTTTTAACACACATGCTATGACTGGCACAAACATCTTGCATTCATCAGCAGACGCTTGAGACAAGCACAGATATACATGTCAGTCACTGACGCCTGCACATTACCTAACTTTGGTTTCACATGCGCGCCACTGTCACCACGAGACACACGCCACTATCCGAACAGGCCACATCCATAAGATACACACACACACACAAGTTGGTAAGATATTTACTTGTACTTTACAAACGGAATATGCCATAATTGGACAGAAACTTCTCCGCTGCAAAAATGTACCTTTGCTTTATACTGATTGATTTGGCCTCTGCGTAGGCTCATAAAAGTTTTTCTATTTCGCTCTTTTTAAATGCCTTACTGTATTGCTACAGAATGCATATTAACCAAGCTTATGACATGTAATAATGTTTACTCTCTACCTGTTCCTATTCCTATACTACGCATTTTGAAATTACGCCAGACTGTTACGCTATAAGACGACCATACACATAACCATCCCGGCTACAGCACGATCTAATGTTACACTGCAGTTTCAACACACATGCTATGACCGGCACAAACACCTTGCATTCATCAGCAGACGCTTGAGACAAGCACAGATATACATGTCAGTCACTGACGCCTGCATATTACCTAACTTTGGTTTCACATGCGCGCCACTGGCACCACGAGACACACGCCACTATCCGAACAGGCCACATCCATAAGATACACACACACACACAAGCTGGTAAGATATTTACTTGGACTTTACAAACGGAATATGCCATAATTGGACATAAGCTTCTCCGCTGCAAAAATGCACCTTTGCTTTATACTGATTGATTTGGCCTCTGCGTAGGCTCATAAAAGTTTTTTTTTTTTTTTTTCGCTCTTTTTCAATGCCTTACTGTATTGCTACGGAATGCATATTAACCAAGCTTATGACATGATAACAATAAACATATTTAAAACAAAACAAACATGTAATTATGAAGATAAATCCTTTAAAAGCTGTATTGCAAAAATTCTGTCAGCCACTCCTGGTCTACGTAGACGTCACTGTAGATCCTATGGATTTGCTTAAAATTAGAGATGTCCAGAGGCATGTTTCATGTTTTTGCATGTTGGTGTTTAAGTAATTTGTTTTTTATATGTTTACTCCCTAATTTAGAATGCTTAATTCTGAATTGTTCTTCTATGTAGTATGTATAAGCAATTACAAAGTGATTTAAAATGCAAGCTTTCACCATTTAGGTCTATTTGTCAGGTTTGTTTTCCTAAATCTAGTTATTCAGCCATTGAGTTCATCACACTTTTTCAATTTCTGTTATCTTTAGAACTGAATTGTGAATAGAAACTTGTTTTAAATAGATGATGATTGTATTATGTTTTAGTACAATTGTGGCCATGAGTGATATAATTCTATAGATGCAAAGTCTCACCATCCCCTGCTACTGTTTGTGATAGACGTGATGGTACTTAAGAAGTATTGGTGTTTTCACAGGAAGGCCTTACAGCTTTACATCTTGCTGTAGAATGTGGACACTTAGACTGTATCAGAATCCTAATCGATGCTGGGTGCGATGTGAATGTGCAGACAGAGGTAACCTTTTCAGCAGATCTTTACATGGCAGCATTACATTTTGTAACTCCTTAACAGTCGTGGCTGTATGGGAGCTCCATGAAAAAAATTGTGCTGGAGCCCTTTGTCATGTGATCTCTAGCAATTCAGTCAATCACCAATCTCTGACTCTGATTGATTAGAAACATGTAAATACATTTTATTCTTTAGATAGTTTACATTGCACTTTCCATACTGCTGTATCTCCGCCTAATGCGGAAAACAGTAGACGCTCACACATTTCAGGCCTTAATGGCACTTCACCCGCAATTTTAACATTTCTTAAAGGAACACTGCAAGCACCATAACCACTAGAGTTTTCTGTAGTGGTATGATGCCACGAATGCCTAAGCAAACTTCTGAATCCCCTCTTTCATTATCAAGCTGGAGTGAGAAGGAGCTTGGTGTAACAGACAACTCTGTAATGTCTTAATACATATTTAAACCCCCTCTTCCCCCTTTTCTGCTTGTTGTGGGTAACTATAAACCTTGCCCCATTATCCCCATCCTCCCCCTCCTACCCCCAAAAGTTGAACTTGTTACCATTTTATTACATAGTATACACTGTATTACATAAAAAATCCAGGCTGAGCAGACATGCAGAAACCAAGCTCCTGATCAAAATTGCCTTTCTGGGGGAAAAACACCCCAAAAATCAAGCACATCCACTGCCTGGAGGAACACAAGCAAGGAGGGGACACCCAGGGAAATCCTTTGACACCCGACTCATGCATGTCACAAACCGGGAACCCTGAAAATCTGCTGAGGCTTACCTGGGACCGAAACGGGGAGAGGCGGCTGCTCTCCTCGCTAGAGAACAGGCTCACAGACCACTCTAACCTCCCAACTCCTACTCGACCGGTGGGGGATATCCTGGTCCACACAGGGCGCCCGAAACACACAAAGCTAAAGCCAAGAGGCCGTTGCGGGAAAACTTGGTGAGCCACGCAGCACCTCAAGATGGCTGCCGCATCGCAATCACAGCGCAGCCCAGCAAGCCAGACAGACCAGAGCTGGAGGGAGGCCTTCAAAGCCCGGTTTGACGCTATCTGTCAAGCCTTCTGGGACCGCATTGCCCAACGTGAACCCCTGCCTACCCCTCCCAAGATGGGACCTACCTGCCAACCAGCAGCGGACACCTGTCCATCTTCTGGGCTGGGAGCCCAACTGGAGGAATCTCCAGGCCGCAGTCCAACTACCCGCAGGGATGACCGCAAGCCGGAAACCCCGGGGATCCACGATCCTGCCTCACAAAGGAGGAGGATCCATGGACAGAGAGCGCCAGCTCCCTTAACAGCCCGGAGCCAAAGGGACAGGGACCTGTCACGCTACACACAGCGCCTGCACTACGAGCAGGGCAACCCATGCTCCCGCACATCGGAGAGGAGCACTGCTAAAGCTGACCGGGAACCAGACCCTCCACGGCGGCATGCTAGAGGCATTGGCTGAGGACGGCTAAGCAGTGGCGTACATACCTGGTATGTACCCACTGTGGCCACCGAGGCTGGACCTGCTGTCACCCCACGGCCGGTCCTGCGGGTGCGCGAGGAAGCACTCAGGGGAGAGTGCTCCCTCGCACGCCCGCCCGCCCGCCCGCCCAGTGACCAGCTGCCCAGGAGCCCAGCAGCACCACTGGACCCCAGGGAATCCCCTCAGCACAAGGAGGCTGGGGGATTCAATTTAAAAAAAAAAAATGTGTTACTGTTAGTGTGTGTGTGTGTGTTAGTGTGAGTGTGTGTGTGTTAGTGTGAGTGTTAGTGTGTATGTCTGCTAGTGAGTGTCAGTGAGTGTGTCTGTTGAATGTGTGTCTGCCAGTGAGTGTCAGTGAGTGTGTTACTGTGTGTGTCTGTTACTGAGTGTGTTTGTGTGTGTGTTAGTGAGTCTGTTTGATGTCTGTTAGTGAGTGTGTGTCAGTGAGAGTGTATGTTTTGTAAGTGAATGTGTATGTATGTCTGTCGCTGAGTGTGTCTCTGTCAGTAAATGTGTGTGTGTCTGTCAGCTAGTGTGTATGCGTCTGTTCGTGAGAGTGTGTGTGTGTCTTCAGCACATACCTTTCTCCAGCGCCGGACTCCCTTGGCGCTGGGGATCCCTCCGCCTCTCAGCTCCAAATGCGCATGCGCATTCAAACCGCCCATAGGAAAGCATTACTCAGTGCTTTCCTATGGACATTCAGTGTCTTAAAATCGCGGAAGCTCCTCTAGCGGCAGTCAGTGAGACAGCCACTAGAGGCTGGATTAACCCTCAGTGAAACATAGCAGTTTCTCTGAAACGGGTATGTTTTCAGCTGCAGGGTTAAAACTAGAGGGGCCTGACACCCAGACCACTTCATTGAGCTGATGTGATCTGGGTGTCTGTAGTGGTCGCAGCCCTGCAACCCTTGCGACCAGGTGCAACCCTTGCGGCCCCGGCCCGCGCAGAGTAAGCGAGTGGGGGGGGGTTCCCGGGGCCCCATGGGTCATGTGTATGCCACTGCGGCTAAGCACACACTCACCAGCCCATCTCCTGAAGCCCATCAATGGCCTGGACTCTGACAACTCTAGTGTGGACACTGTTACCTTGAGTAAAGTATAGCATACACACGCTCACCCACACTTTTGATGGAGAGAATAACCTCTCACTGTAGCTTTGGCTTTAGATGTAATATTAATGTTTATGCTGACGCCCAACCAGCTTGAGCTTAACGTCTGATTATCACTACCCTACTCTATATAACACTAAGCTGCATACAACATGAATAATCTTATATACTCACCATAAAAATGTGCATGTATCATCACACCCCCCACTGTTATAACTGTTTTAAAACTAAAGCATGAGGATTGCCTTTGGGGTACCCCATGCATGTTGTATTTTCATATGCACAACAAAAAAAAAAGTTTAGAATCAAAAATATAATTTACAGGCAAAAATTTAATCTTCTGTATTTAATGTCAATTGATAAAACCAGATTTTGTAAAAAAATAAATAAATAATAATTTTCCTCTAAGTCTGCCTGATTGAGGAAAAAAAGAGAGAAGAAAAGCCCACTGTATTATCAAATGACATAGTTTGTTACTCACAGTGACTATTGGTGACAGAGAGAAATGGATAAGATAAAATCACATTACATTTATTTTTCGAAATAATATTATAATTTGTGGAGTTTTTGTTTAATCGATTAGTGACAAAATAAGTTATTGATTTTTCCTTTCTTTCATAAAAACAATGAATCACATGTATGAACGTAATATATAAGACATCAGAAAATTGTGATTGAACCCTAGTGGGATTAATGGGAAGCTACTCAAATAGGCTTGTTTTTTATACACAGTAATGCTTTATCAGCTGTTTGAAACAATGTTAAACTAAAGTAAGTGTGGCTCGTGTGCCCTCTACTGGTTGAATTACAAGTCAACGCTAGCAAGCTTTCACAATATTGAACTAAACGCAGGGTTTCACTTCTCCACTTCACAGCCTACATAAAATGCCATTTTTGTTCTGCAGAAAGGAATGAACTCACTCCATTATGCGGCTTTCCACGGCCATGTGGACATTGCAAGAACTCTTATTGATGCAGACATTAACATCAATGCCGTAAATCAAGTGAGTACAGTTTGCACAAAAACACACTTGTCTGTTCAAGTCCAGCTCTGTGGGCTACACGTTCTGTAAGGTGAACAATCCAGCATTAAGTACTCTTTGGAACATTTAAATGGTACTTAGGTTATTGAAGCATCTTCATCCAAACATAGCATATTATATATTCCCTTTAAATGAGAGGAGGTAACCTGAGGCTTTATTCATAGATTTCCTTGGCTTTTCTTTCATTACCAGCATTTATCTCGTTTATACCTTTGTTGCATCATTTTTTGCCAATTAACACTTCCAATGATGTGCATGGTTTTTGTCGAATTTCAAGCAGTGTATATAAAATGAACTAATCCGGGTAATGCCTGATATTTACATTTTGCATTCTTTGTGCAAGTTTTGCTGTTACTGTGACTCTTCCTGAAGGGAGGTGAATTTATGTTGATGTTAATGAGGACTGGTCTCAAGAGTTTGTTCAGAGATTAGTCCACATTGTCTTTAATAAAGACTGCTCTTGGAAGTAAATATGTGGACACTAAACCATTTCTTTTTTTCTTTTGTTTTGCAGCAAAATTCATCTGCTCTGCATATCTCTGTTCTGAGGAACTTCTCATCCATAGTCAAGCTTTTCATTGACTGCGAGTGTGATCTGGATATCACAGACTATGTAAGAATTGGTTATTAACCACATAAACCATGGTATCAGCAGGTACTGAGATGTGTAAAGGCGCACAGAAAGCTCAGTGGGAAAGTAGGACACAGAAATACAAATGACCCTATCAAAGAATTAGAAGGTTAGAATGTCACAGGGAAAGGATTGAAAGTCAAGAATAAAACTCAAGAGCAGAAGAAAGGTTAGGCAGAGGGTATCTCACAGACAAGTACACGGGAACAAGTAAGAGACACATTCAGAACAATGTGAGACGTAGAGTAAGACTCACATAGACAGGGACATGGAAGAAGGTCAGTGAGACTCTGTTAGATGGAAATGTGGGAGAAGAATAGTGAGACTCAGAAAGAAGGGTGGGGAGTTTAATGGGACTTACTCTAACAGGCACCTGATGGTTTCAGAACACTTCAAATATGGTGCAGGCATATTAACCTGGAGAGAGTGTGCGTGTATATGTATATATAAATATCTTTGTTTTCTCACAGAGGCTTCAGACTCCTCTTCATATTGCGGCTGAGAATGGACGACAAGATATGGCTGAAATGATCCTCATTGCTGGAGTAAACCTGAAGCTGCAGGATAAGGTGCAATAAACAAACCATTTATACCCATCCGCAGGAGACTATATTGCATATTATGTTATCTCATCATTTCTCTTTCCAGCAAGGGAAGACATCGCTTGATGTGGCTGCACGTGGCAATCATATCAACCTTGCAGACATGATCATCAAGGCAGATCGTTTCTATAAGTGGGAGAAGGTACACAATTTACATTGTAGATACAAGTTTCAGAGACTGTTAACTCCTGTTGATTTTCACTTTAGTGGATAATACTGCATAAAATGTGTAATTGCAAGTGAAGATTCCCATATAGTAACATTAACATAGTGTTGTAACCATGCAGGGATGCTTGTCATAACCATAACTTAGAATCGTAATGATGGCAAGGTGTGATAAATAGAATGTTTCTACTCCTCGTTAACACAGGACAATATGAACAGTGATTCTGATTCGTGGGTGCCCAGAAACCTGACCTTTAGACAGGACCATCGACTGGAAACACAGCACATCCGGTCTGTTATCTGGAGACTAGCAACAAAATACCTTAAACCCAACGAGTGGAAAAAGCTGGCACAGCACTGGAAATTTACTGATGCCCACATACGGGCTATAGAGCAGCAGTGGACAGGTGCAGAGAGTTTCTACATTGATTGATCAAGGGAAAAGGGCTGTGAAAGTGTATTTTGTCTGTTGTATGATGTAGCTAAAAGGAAGGTAATTAAACCGTATTTCACACTGGCAGTAAAGAAGCATTGACAATCTCCTAGCAAATCATGTTTTCGTTGGAATCACTGTACATAAATCATAAAGGCTTTGTTTTTATTCAGGAATGTATAGGCTTTGTGCTGCTCTGTTGTACCCTTTTCTGACCACTTACAAGAGGAATGAATTGAGTGGAGCTATGGTGCTAGTATTTGTAGATTTAGAGGCCGATTGACCAATCAGGAACATCAGTCATTGATCCAAGGCAGTCAGGGACCCAGCTGCATAATGATGCTTTTGCTGCGGATATTAAAAATCTCCCCAACCTCAAAGGCATCATCTTGAGAAATGGCAGCAAAAGATTGCAGAGGGCATATGAAGGCACAGATGACCCCTGCAACCTATTGCACTGCAAATTAATTTTCCTGCTCAATGAGAGACCTGGCAGCATACCAGCTCTCTCAGTGCCAGGCCTCCTCTTTGCTTTATCTGCACATTGCTCTGTGTGAATTAGAGGTTGGGATGGAAAGTGACATCACATCCTCTGCTTTCTCCTTTTACACGGAGAGCTCTCACAGCATGCATGAATAGTGAGAACAAGCAACAACCTGGCAGACACAGCAGATCCCTCCCAGGTATGATGCTTGAACAAGATGGAGGGAGGAAAAATCAGGTTGGTGCAAAGAAACAGGCTAGGGGTGAAAATGGCAGAGGCATATGTGGGATGAAGGGGTGAGGGTCTACCACTTCCTACAGTTGTGTTTTGATATGTGGGTTAGACAAAGGTGTGATGTAAGACAAATGGGGTGTTTGGGAAGGAGAAGTGTGAGGTGACAGAGGCACAGGTGAGTGGGGTGTGAGGGCAGACAGAAGTGGTGAAGAGGAGTGTCAAATTGTGTTAGATAGAGTGTCACAAAAGGGGAGACAAGGGTGTCAGAAAAAAGAGGGGGGTAATGGGAAGACACACATATACAGTGGGAAAGATTGAGAGAGACAGAGACTTAGAAGTTGGTTGTGGAGTCCAAATAACAAAATTAAAAAAACACTTGTCTATAAACACACACCTCATTATTAACATGCAGACACTGATTTTAAATACACACTTAAATATACATCCCTGAAATCACACTCACGCTGACTCCATACAGATATACTCCTACATTCTCATACAAACTGCTCAAACCTACTCCTGCATTCACACACAGACAATGCATACAAATCTATCCCTGCATTCATACAGACTTCCCACACTAATTATACTAAATCCAAGTATACACTCACTAACATATTTGTATATACGTCCATGTTATTAGTGTCAAAGCAAAAGTGTATGTAATGTAACGGTTTTAACATACATTTCTTTAAATGTGTCCTTCCATTCACACTTCACACCAATCATACTGACATTATATGCAAAAAAAAAAAAAAGCACAAGCATCCACACAGACAACACACAGGTGTATTCACACTGACTTTACACACTCAAAACTTGCATTGAAACACACAGATCTTTACACTTCACACAACCAATGGAATAGACACAGGGTTATTCATTAAAGTAAGAATTTTCAGGAATTAAAAATGAATTTCAAATGTAATGCCTATATAATCAAAACAAACAACAATATTGACTTTGAATTGAAAAAATATATTTTGAAATTTACTTTTCTCTGCAATTCTCACTTGAGAAAATATCCCAGACAGGTTTTTTTTTTATTTTAAAATTCTATTCTACATTTACTTAAAACACATTTATTTGGTCTTCAAAGGGCCCAGGATCTAATTTTGCCAAGTATGTCCCTGTGTAGGTTTTTTTATTGTTTTATAATTGTATTTTTTTCTTTCTGCTTGCATCAAGTTTGCATCTTGCTTTGTAAGACGCATTTTTGAAAATGAAGTACAGATGTAACACAATATCTAACATGGCAACTTGCTGTTTTGACACCAGGAACTAAAAGCTACCGGGACCATGGTCATAGAATGCTACTGATCTGGCTGCATGGTGTCGTAATGGCTGGCGAAAACCCAGTAAAAGGACTGTATGAGGGGCTGGTCGGTATTGACAGGAGAGACCTTGCAGGTCAGTGATGTAGTTTGGTCTGTTCTATGCTGAACGCTGACTAAAGTAATCTGAAATATAAGTATTACAACAGAGTCTAAAAATTGTGTCCATTTATTGGGTTAAACTGCAAGAATGATTTCGACCATTGTGTAAGTTTAAAAGATAAAATATATCTCTACTCAAATGTTGGAAGGTCATAACCACTAGAACAAGGGTAGGCAACCTTTGGCACACCAGATGTTGTGAACTACATCTCCCATAATGCTCTCGCAGCCATAATGCTAGTAAAGCATCAGTGGAGATGTCCATAACATATGGACTGCCAAAGGTTGTCTACATCTGCCCTAGAAAACTGAATGCTATACAATAAAAAGGAAAATAATCCAACATAAAGAAACAAGAAAACCAAAAACTGTACACACATTTACATTTATCACCTAAAACATGTATGATACAAGGGGTAAACAAAATTCAAATTAATGAAAATCTACCCGATTACCCAGAAGAAGTAACTACATTTTACTATTTCCATTACATGGTTTCTATGTTTCTCTCAACCTGATCTGTAGTCTGCTGCCCTTGATAAGTAACCATTTTGTTTTGCTTTCTGTCGTCATCTGTAGAGAGTATCAGGAAAATGGCAAATGCAGATGATTCTTCTCCGAAGAAATGTACTGCAATGTGAACACCTATACTGAACCAATCTTGCCATGGAAAGACAGTGCCGCTAACCGCATCACAGGCCAGCGATCGTAACAGAGAATCTTCTCAGCACATAGTCACCTCAAGGGCTGATACTAAATCCAAATATATACCCTGCAGTGCCATTTGAAAACAGCGTCAGTATACAACCATCCTGATGTGACCTACTTGGAAACCCAGAGGTCTTTCTGGGTTTTGGGCTCCTTTATAGCACTTTCTATACTGGATTTATAAAACTATTTAATTAAAAATGTTATTGGGGATTTAATTTATCTGTTCTTTAAACACTTTGTGACAAAGTTAGGCAAATCCTATGATATATATGACACTGCTTGTGTGTAATGTCATGAGGGGTTAAAAGTCTCATTGTCTGTTCTTGTTTTTTTTTTTGTACTTTTTTCTACTCCTGGTTGTCACTTTGCGACACGCTAAAGCACATTAGCAAAGACCAAGAGTCTATAACTGCAACAAATAACTTTTTTCTTTTGTAATGAAATTTTATATGCACAGGAGAGAGATACGGGTTTCTAATCCATTGCTCTGCTCCCTAGAGCAGGAATTTTTGGTTACGTGTGTTGTGACGCATCCAGCCTTTCTTATAGCACATGTCCCCAAGTATTGCGTTCTAGCAACTGCACAGGGATAACCGACTCTCTCCCATGTGAACTGGGAGTGCAAATGAGCTTTGTGTGAAATTGTGATTGTTTGTGAAAATATTGCTTTATACCATTTTATGTGAGCAAAAAGCACAACTTTTTATTCCTTGGAACAAAATAGTTTTGTAAGAACCCAGTATACACTTTAGGAACAACATTTGACAACCAATTTGGGTTTTGGGTTCTGATGCAGAGTATTAAAAAGTGCACATCTTGATTTAAAGACATAATTAAGACATTAAAGTTGGCTTGTCTTTACTGAACTCAATGACATCTTTAGATAATATTTAATAAATATATAGTTCTGGTACATATAAAAATTTCTGTAACTATACATTTATCTGAAATTTGCAATCATCTTGGTGAACTCCCATAATGCTGGGGATGGCAATCTCACAATTAGTAGAACAGAGATATACGTATTGTGTGTTCCTTTGTGTTGTATATACAGTAAAATACTGTTAAAAATCTCCAGTTGTAATTTATGAATGTCCAAAGAGTGCAGTCTGGCCATATTTAAACACCAGTAACTACACCACTTGAAGATCTCTCAGTTTCAGTACGCACTTCCATTTTGCAGTTGAATTACAACTTCCAAACCAAAAAAAAGCTAGAAAAATGTTGTCAGAGGTGATCAGATCATGTGATTTATTTAGTGTGTTCTCCCAGCATTTCGCTGTACTGGACAGATGAAAAGTGTGAGCACTGTGTCCATGCAAAAATTGTTATTGGGTTTAGCAGCTTTAGAAATAATCAGGAACTATTAATGCATTGTGTAATGGTGCAGGCATTATGTTTGATTATATTAGTTCTTTAAAAAGGTTCTTAAACAAGAAGTGTACCTTTTTAATATTCTAACTTGAAAGCTTTTTAAATTATTATCTATTCATTTACTAACCTTACCAAATGTAAAGTGATCTCATTCTTTTATATAAAAAGCAAGAAAAAAAATATATAATTAATTTATTCAATTATTGCAGCACATGAGGGTTAAACTGCACTAACACCCAGCCTTAGGTGCCAGATCTTACAAAGTCACATGGTGCTTTCTTTGTGCCAATATATCTATGCAACTACTTATGAAATGGAATGCCTTTCATTTACCTGGCACTTTCCGTTCAAAAATGGGTTTTCGTCATTCTCTGAAGACTGGAGAAAATATTAACATTCCACTATGCGTAACAACACAAGCTTTATGCAAGCAGATTTGGGAGCTTAAGTGCTCGAAGACGATCTATGGAATTGATTCCAAGAATGCACTGACTGCATTCCTCTGGCCTTCAGTAGGTAAATTCCAAAGCCATTGTAGGCTGGCAAAGCATCATAAGAGTTTTAGTTCTACAATAAGTGGGGATCTACTTTTGACGATACCTGGCCCTTAATGTTATGCAACAACCTATCCTAAGACTTTGGCTGTTAGTGATGGTATACCCTTTACAAAGTTTCGAATAACCTCATAGGTGTTTAAGAGAAAATGACTGAATTAAGCAGGCTAATGTATATCTAAATGTATTAATGACTGTAGCATTGTTGCTAGATGAAAGGATTGTGTTATCAAAGTATGCCCAGATGTTACAAATAGAAAGCGTTAATTTCTCTACCTAGGGCACTTAACGTCAGAGCATTAAATGGGTAAGAGGCATCATGCTGCTTGTAAGAGGGATACATTGGTAAATTGCGTATTAATTGTGGTGGTAAAGAAGATGTTTTCTTGCCAAATTTTGCTGCTGGAAATCTAGCAAGAAGTTTTAATCTGTACAAAAGTTTTATTCTGTTCATTAAACTTTACGCAGTGTATGTGTTGGCTGTTTCTCTGAATAATTTGTTATCTGTACAAACAATATTGAAAGTAATTCCCCACAAACCTCTGTACAGTGAATTTCATTGTTGTATGTTAAGGTGGGGAAACTGCTAGTTTATGGTTGTTGCTGGATTAGTGGAGGATAAAGACATTGTATTCCAAGCTAACTATTTTGGACACATGGCATCATGTAACAGTATTTCAGAATGACTATACACCTGTTATATAATATATAGAGGCATTTAGAATTAAGGCTGTGTAGGGGCACATTTTAAAGGTTAGTTCAGGTCATAACCACGTCAGTGATTTGAAGTGGTCATGGTGCTTGAGGGCTGTATGTGTAGTGTTTTGCTTTCAAACACTGCACATACAGATATTAAAAGGGACACTGTAGACACCCAGACAACTTGATCTCACTGAAGTGGCCTGGGTGCCATTTCCTTTTCATTTACCCTGCAGTGTAATTTACATTGCAGGATTTAAATGCCTCTATTAGCTGTCACTCAGAGTAAAACTGTAAATCAGGTGGTTTCATATATACCATCTGACTGGCACTGTGTAGCATTTTGCCGGAGGACTTGGCCTTGTTGAGGGGAAGAGTAAGCTGAAGCTTTTTGCAAACAAATGAAACTTTGGTTAATTGGTTATGCTTTGTGCTCAGAGAGCTCTCTCTGTAGCATTCATAACTAAAGCCAAGGTACTTGTCAGACTTCAGTGCTGGATGAGTGTCACTGTCACACTTTGCAACCCTTTTATATTGAATTGTCCCAAGGGACCCTGTTACAGAGTTTGGTACTCACCTTGAGTATCTCTGCACGTCTCCCTCCAATTCTCTGCAGAATACCTAGAGTAATTATAAAAGCACTATCACTGCTCATACAAACATCATCAACTGAGAGTTAATGAAGGGTGAAACAAGCACATTTATTACACAAAACCCACATATACTTACAGCTCATTTGTATTGAACCTGCAGGGAGTAATCAGAGAATGAGGGAGAGGGAGTATGGCCCGGTTTAATGAGGGAGTGCAACAGGGCAATTGTGGCATGCTAGCAGGGACGAGTGCAACAGGATTAAGGGGGTTAATGTGACAGGGTGAGTGTTGCAGAGTGAGGGCAGGTGAGTTTGGAGGGGGTGAGATTAAGAGGATTAGGAGTGGATAATGTGAGTGTGGATGCCTGAAGAGAGTGACGGTATGAGTGGATGCTGTGACGACAGTGTAGGGAGGGGATACTGTGTGAGAGGGGGTGATGGTGAGTTATGGGAAGAGGGGGATTAAATACATTTTTTTTTCCCCTGGTGGTTTGGTGGTGATATCCGGTCTGCAGCTCTGCACACCATGTGTTTAGCGAGACCCAGTCAGTGTTGCGGTGGTAATCCGTAGCAACGCTCTGACTGACCAGTTCTCCCGAGACACATGGTCTGCAGCTCTGCGCACTGCGGAGCTGCAGACCAGTGTCTATGATGGGCGCTCTCTGTCCGGGTCGGGGAGCCAGGAGGGGCCTTGCACCCAGCGGCATACTGAGCAAACCACCGGGCCCCCTCCTGGTGTTGGACCCGATACAGTCTGCCCTAAGGCAGTTTAGGCAGCTGCAAGGCCCCAGCTAGCGCGAGGCCTTAGGTGGACGCCTAATTAGGGAGCCACCTCTGCTCCCATCAACTTGGATTGTATTACTAGCGCCCTTATGTCTGGGGCATCTGCTCCCCTTAGATCATCATAACTCCATTCACCAATTCCCTGTACCAGTCAGCCCCCCCCCCCCTTCACCCCATCTACCCAAATAGCTTGATAGTGTGTATGGTGTCCAATAACCACCCAGTTGAAGGTTTGGCCATTCACAGCTGCATTCCGAACTGATGAACAGAACCATGCAGTTTCACAAAACAATATATCTGCACATTTTTAAGGAACGAAAGAAGTAATGAATGTAAGTAGAATAGTGAGCATATAACCAACCAAGAGATGTTAAAAAAAAAAATTGCGCATGGGCTGTGTTTCAGCCCAAAGATGTAGTAACCACAGGGAAGCGTCACAAAATCAGTACAGTGTTAACATAAATATGGGTATAAACGCTACATTAGGGCACAATGTCAAGCCAGGATACACAAAGATATGATACAGTCAACCTATGCACAAGCTAGGTAAGGTGTAAGGATAACACCTGCATCAACCCCGAGCACAATCAAGAGCCAACACATGGACAAGGACACAGCAGATAATGGTGTTTTTGGCCATGTTCTTCAGGGGGTCGGCGAAGGGACTCAGACGAATACGGCTTTCTTGCGGTCTTCTCCACAGGCGTGGACCTTGGCAGGACCTGCTGTGTGCGTGTCATAGTTGCTTAGCACAGGCCTCGCCAATTCCGCTTTCCCTGCAAAAGGGTAAGTAACATGCTTTAGTTGGTCTGGGTGCAAGGACAATCCTGCCAAAAACCTTTTGCAGATGCAGTCAAAGGTTGCCAGATTTCAGCCCCTGATGAGCTTTGTGTCCATCTTGGAAGAATCCACTGTTGGCCTGCTGGTGCACCAATGTGCACCTTGCCACCCATATGAACTAACAGCCTCATCTGGGGGGACCATCATAACAATTGCAGTGCGTAAGGGAGCAGGGGAACCCAAAGTAGAGTAGCAGAGGGCTGGTGCTATCTAGGGAGCGTCCTTCCAGACAGAGTGGGTACTTCTAGCAGGTTATTGCAAGAAGCTACAGTATATTCAATGTCGATAAAAGGTCTTCGCAACCAGTGTTCCATGGGATGTGCAATACCCACACTCTGTAGGCAGTTAACACTTTTCAGCACCACATTTATAAGTGGTTACTCAATTCATGGAGGGAAAAAAAAAAAAGTTTCTGATGCAATCCCAGTTTTATTCAAAACTATTAAAGAATTCAGCCTATGGAAATATTAAACAATAAACTGAGTTTTGCAGAATACAATAGGATATTACAAACCCTAATACTGATAATCAGGGAGATCTTTAAATGACAGGATTTCCAACTTGGCACTTTGAAACAAAACAAAAAAAAATTACATAAGCAACAAATTACAGTACATTACACATACACTATATACACTTGGACATAAAAATCAATAAGGCACTCAATCTGCATGGATTTTTACAGAAAATACTTTTGATAGTCCATCTTTAACATGCAAGTGTGACAACAGGTGTTAAATGTCAGTAACTTCAATCCTGTATGCGGACTAAATCTTCGGCATCAAGACAATGCTTTTTTTTTTTATTCTGGGAATGATTTCAGAAACAGCTGTTGGAATAAGAATAATACATTCGTAATGGCTAAAGGTTGGCTGAGCATCATGGATAGCTAATAGCTACAGCTGCCTCAATAGCCCAAAAGAGATAACCTCACTGAAGAAATATATTTAGATTTTCATTCATATTCAAAACCAGAACAACCAACATTCTTCTTGTGTATAATATTCTAAATAATTTATGGACTTCAACGTGTCCATGCTTCACAGCCAGCAATACTCACAAAGAAGGTCACTGGCTTAGTATGGGTCACCGAGGAGTGGAGAGAATGCATTAGATTTACATCCTTAGATTGATTTTCAGAACCTTCCAAAACTGGTGACATTTAAACCTCGGTGTAGCTTCTGGCAGCTAAGTTAATTATCCAATACACAATGAGCTAATCTTGCAGTAGGTGATCTGGAGCAAGTTTTAGAGCATGCTAGGGTAGACCTGCTAAGCTGCTAATAGGGACCCTGGATTCCAAAAAAGTACACTTAAGACAAAATTAACCTTGGATAATGTGTCAGTGACAGCATAATCTATAAAACTGCAGTGCCTGTAGTCACCAATAAAGGCAATTAACTTGTCTAAAGATATGAAACCATTCACTGGTCAGTCAGGTTGACTAAAATAACCTGAAAGTCTTAGTGTCTATCTTTTTGGATAGCAACAGCATCATGGATACAAAAAACATGACAAAGTCTTCTCCAGGAATAAGGGGAAAAAACAGGATGAGGTTGTCCCTCCATGAACTTGGAAATAGATTGTCTGTAACCTCATGGAAGACAGTTTATCAGATGCTGACAGAATCACCCATGTGAAGTGGAAGTAGAATGAAGATTATTTCTACACAAGAGTACCAGAACTTTCCAATGGCTTCCAGAAGATGTGTGATCAAACAGGGGGGGGAATAGCCCTAGGTTTTAGTTTTGTTGAGTATACTCCAGCTTTAAGTCTCTCCAATTTTTACAGTTCAGCACAGGAATGATTGAAGTAGCCTGTCTGCCAGCAGAGAAGGAGATCATTGGGTCTGGTGGCTCCGATGTAATAGTTGGGACAAAGTTTAGCTCTCCTCGGTCTCTGTGCTGGGTGCAGAGCATCCTTTCTGGACCTCAAGCTCTTCAGCGCTCACCATCGATGGATCTATTGCTGCATATCTGGTGCCGTGAAACTGTCGCAAGTGAATCTACAAAACAATAACAGAAAATATCTCACAGTAAATATCTCACCAAGATTCTTCTGAATGTTTTAGGAACAGTTCTTATAGAAATGTAGTCTTACAGGAAGCATCTTTACAATGATTGCTCCCGTTTTTTATTCCAGTATACAAGTTTGGTGGGGTTCAGTTTTCCTACAGAGACAGGCATTTAAAACATGGCAGTCTATACCACGCTCAAGTTGTATTTTCAGAAGAGAAAAACCCCACTTTCATTAGAAAACAGCAGCAAAAATCCATTCTAATGACTACCCCAATGACCATTTTAGTCTTGGGGTAGACAAGCCAACGGGTATAATTATTATTACTATAGTTAATCTATTCCAGGCTGGTTACATTTAGTGTTATTTATCCCTGTAAATGAATACAATTATCTGGATTTAGACTTCCCTCTGGATAGATCAGCCAGGAGATGCTCTGGTTGCAAAGTAATTCTAATCATCTTGTAAAATAATTAAATGCAATTATTACCTACTTATATTGCATGAATTCTGAGATACCATCATGCATACTAAATGTACACATACAAGTAAACACCAGAATGATTGGTCCAGATAG